GTTTGGCTATCGGTATCAAAAGCCACCATACCCTATGGCATTCCTGCATGAACAGTGAGCATCTCCCCCTGGGGGACAATCGGTGTTATCTCCCTTTTTCAGATTTTTGTGAGTTTGGTGGAGCCTTCCCATTTCTTTATCTTCACCAGGCACCTTATTTTTCATTTGCTGAACACTTAGGCTTTGTGGACACATAAAACGCTTACTTTTAAAAACTGTTTATAATCACATGGCTCTTACTAATGCTCTTGGCTGCATTTTAGTGTTTCCTAATAACTTACGCTTCGCAAGAAATGGATCTCACTTGTGGTACTGCCGAAACTTGGCAATGTCCTTGTCAGGCAGCTGCTTCACAGCCACTGAGGAATGGCCAATGTCTCCTGGCTGCCTGCTTTACTCCAGACTGCCCTTTTAAAAAGGATGCTAATCTTATTGGGCTGAGGCCCTCCATACTCCAGTAAAACCTCTTTGCAATGGGTGACATTTGCAAAGACCTTCTTTCCAAGTTGAGCCATACTCCAAAGTACAGAGCTTTAAGGATAAGCATCCCTGCTGTAACTGTCAGGGATCACATCATGATCTACTCTGTGACACTCCACCTCTGCCATCTGGTCACACAGCCTGTAGCAGAAAGGCCCTAACCCTAACTCTGTCTCCCTACAAAGAACCATACAAAGTGCTAGCAATAAACCCACCTGCAAATAAGTCCCCACAATCAGAGAGTTAACCCAAGACTATTACACATTTCATTAGTAAATCCACAAGTAAGGAATGGGGGAGAACATGGAGGGCCCCCTCCACTCTCCAGAGTGTAGACCACAGGACTATAACCAGAACCTCTCAGAGGAAATGGACACCCTTCACTGTGACACTAATTCCTGCAGCTTCAGACCCAGCCTGTCTCACAGAAGGGACTTGCACACATCAGTGATAGGGGAAAGGGTTCTATCTTGGGGTTTCTAATGCTGTGAAGAGACACCATGACCATAACAACTCTTATAAAGGAAAACATTTCATGGAGGTGGAAACTTACAGTTTCGGAGGGTCAGTCCATTATCATCATGGTGGAACATGGCAGCATGCAGGCAGACATGGTGCTGGACCTGAGACTCCTCCATCTTGATTGGCAGGCCAACCGAAAGTGAACTAAGATACTGGGCATAGCTCGAGCATATATAAGACCTCAAAACCCACCTCCACAGTGACACACTTCCTCCAATAAGGCCATACCCACTCTAACAAAGCAACACCTCCTAATAGTGCCACTCCCTTTGGTACCCACTCCTGTTTTCTTTCAAACCACCACAGGATCCATTCACCAGTGTCCCTTCAACGGCCATCCGACACCAGAAAATGCTACCAAAAACCCCTCACCAACATCCCCTACCCAATGTGCCCATACCACAACCCCCTTGTAAATATCCCTTTACCAGTATAACATCACGCCCTTCTCAGCATTCCCACTGCAGTATCCCCTCACCTACATCTCCTAACCAGTATTCTCCTGTTGACACTCCATGACAGGCATGCACTCATCAATATCCCATCTTTAACCTACCAAACATCAATATCCTTCTACCAACACCCAAACCCCTGTATCCTCAACAATATCTGTTTCCAACAGTTCCAAACCAAAGTCCCCTCACCATTGTGCTCTCATTAATGACCTCTCACCATTGTCCTGTCACCACCATATTCCCTCACCACAGCACACCAAACACACCTTCTGAAGTCCGGTGACACCACCACCTCTGTACAAAAGCTATCTGTTTTCCCCATAGTAGCATCCCCTGCCACGGTACCCTCCTCACATTTCCCCACAGCAACAGCATCCTTCTACCAACTTGCCTTCACTGCCTGCCCTTACACATTACCCCCCTTCAACACCATCGCCTCACGCCCTTCCCCTCTGTATCTTCCAGTCACGATTTTCCAATCACCACCTTCCCTCAGTACCATCTCCTCTCTGATATCCCCCAAGAAAACCCCTCACAAATATGACCAAATCACGATGTTTTTCTCACTGTTATGGTCCTTCCAGTGGCCCTTGCTTATGTGCCTTTAGACTTCTATGTGTCCAAAAACCTGCACATCAGTGGGCTAGGTAGTAGCCAGCCCCTAAGCCCCAACCCCCAAATGCACACAGGAGCATTTTCAGATGTTCCCAGAATCCTATACCATACTAGACTATACCATATAAGGCTTCTCTCCGCCATGGTGGGAACGGCCCATCTCCCACCCTGCTTTGGGCCCATCATAGCCATTGTTCTAGTTTCTAGTTCTTTCTCCTAAGCTGAAACATGAACAAAAAGCAATTTAGGAAGGAAAGAATACGTTTGGCTTACATTTCGATCTAACAATCCATCATTGAGGGAGGTTGGAGCAGGAGCTCTACCATACAGGAATGTTCTTTACTAGCTCACTCCCGCTGGCTCATGCCTAGCCAGCTTTCTTACACAACCAGGACCACCTGCATGGGGTGGCCCGGCCCACAGTGGTCAAGGTCTTCTTACATCAAGCAACAATCAAGGCAATTCCCCACAGATGTAGACCCAGGTTAATCAGATCTCGGCATTCCTCAGCTAAGACTTCTACAAGGTGACTCTTGTAGACAAACTAAGCAGGATACCTCTTCATGAAAATGATAACACCCAACCACTCCTCCTATGCACCCCTGTGATACACATACTGGAGGAAAGAGTTTTAATCCAACTGCTCTGCTGTCCTGTAGCCTCTCTGGGTTGCCACTACATTTCTGGGTTACAGTGCTGGGGATAAGGCTAGGGTTAGGGACCCAAGTCCAGGAGGCCTAACAGAATCTCCTCTCGGCCTGAGGAAGGGCTAAGGAAGCTGGACCCTGGGCTGGGGGACTGGATAGGACTGGGTACTAACCTTCCCTGTCCTCAGTGTCCTTGGATATCAGGGAAAGAATACAGAATCCTCACCTGTCTGCCCCCTCCCCAAGACAGTCCCAACCCTGGGTGGGACTCATGTTTGAGACTAGCATCTCAGACAGCCATGAAAGATCCCATGGGATAGAGCAACACGCCAAGGGCCTCTGTGCTCCCAGCCCACTTGCAAGCACAGCCATGGCATGCTTCTGCATTCTGACTGTGGAACGCTTTCTCCACAGAGCTCTGAGCCAATGACCCTCACCACTGAAATTCTAGGGAATCACGAGCCTCAGAAAGGAGTGATGCCCCCGCACCAGTGCTGCATCAGCTTTTTCAGCCCAGCTCTTCCAAAGCTAGGGTCATGCAGCCTCCAGCCTGCTGGTTCAACATAGGTGTGAGCTCAGGGACCCAAGACAGACCCCTGGGACCCAAGTTGCTGCTACGAAGGACAAACAGAATCGGTTTAAGCAAATGCTCTTCGGAACAGCAAGGGGCAAAGCCCCAGAGTCATCCTTGTTCTGTCTCTGGCAAAAGCACAGGCATTTGTTATACACAAGTTGGCCAGGGCCCCTCACCAGAACTGGGCAGCCCCTCACAAGCCCCTTGTCAAGTTCAGTCTAATTTGTAGGAACATCCTGCACTGCAGCCCATGTGAAATGTCCCTTCATGTTGATGTCATCCCCCCGGGCTGATGTCTCTTCCCGGAAACAAATGACTTAAATTTTCAGATAGCAAATCTGTCTTAAAAGACATTTTGATTTTCTGCCTCGCTTAAGAAGACTGTACCACAAGCTGGTTTCTTTTTATATACTGTGTTAATAAGTACAACCATATTTGGGAGATTGTTCATGGAGTGGCACATCTGAAAGTCACTGGGATAGTTTTTTGTTGTTGTTGTTTTGTGTGTATAATAGAGAAAGAGACAGGAAGCGGCCAACAGACCATCTGGGGTGGGGGATGGGGTGAGCCCCTGTGAAGGTGGCATGGAAGCTAGGAGTAGACTGCCTAGTGAAGGGAGAGAATGCCCTTACAGTGCTCAGGAGCCAGACATTCCCCGGGGGTGAGGGCTTGGATCGCCGCAGTCTCTGTCCTTGCTGCATGGCTGTACTGGCTGCTTTTGTGTCAACTTGACACAAACTAGATTCATCTGAAAGGAGGGCGTCTCAATTGAGAAAACACTTCCATAAGATCCAGCTGTAGGGCATTTTCTTAATTAGTGATTGATGGGGAAGGGCCCAGTCCATTGTGGGTGGTGCCATCCCTGGCCTGGTGGTCCTGGGTTCTATAAGAAAGCAGGCTGAAGCCAGGCGTTGGTGGAGGCCTTTAATCCCAGCACTCGGGAGGCAGAGGCAGGGGGATCTCTGTGAGTTCGAGGCCAGCCTGGTCTACAAGAGCTAGTTTCCAAAGCTACCACAGAGAAACCCTGTCTCAAGGGAAAAAAAAAGAAAAAGAAAAAGAAAGCAGGCTGAGCAGGCCAGTAAGCAGCACTCCTTCATGGTCTCTGTGTCAGCTCCTGCCTCCAGGTTCCTGTCCTTTTTGAGTTCCTGTCCTGACTTCCTTCAGTGATGAACAGTGATGTGGAAATATAAGTCAAATAAACCCTTTCCTCCCCAACTTGCTCTTTGGTCATGGTGTCTTGCACAGCAATGGCAATCCTAACTAAGACAACAGCAATGAATCCAGTGCTCAGAGCGTCCTAGAGCTCCAGGAACCCTGAGGCTGCAACTCCCTCTTCATTACTCATAAACTAAGGGGTCCCCTGGCCCTGCTTCCAGTCCCAGTCTCAGCCCTTGGCCTTGGCCCCCAAACCCAAGCACACCAGGCAGGTTTGTGTTCAGAATTTACTCGAAGCCATGGGTAACAGAGGGTGTCAGGCTGAATGCCCTCAGGAGACCACCCTCAGTCAAGCCCCACTCCCTACCCCAAACCAACCTCCTTTGCATCTTCTGATTCTACATAGACAGCTGTGTGTAGAGCCCCAACCTGACACTGCTGATGTCATGCCTGAGTCTTCCCTCCAAGCAAGGCCTGAGTCACTTAAGATAGCTAAGGAACACTGGAAGTTGGACCATCCATGATGTGTGTATGGGGGGGGGGGGTGTCTCTTCACTCCTTCCGGGCTTCTAGGCTAGCCAGCACCAGTGCCGCCTGGGTCTTGGCTTCCTGCAGAAGGCTGGAGATTCGATGGTGCATCTGACAGATATAAAGGGATATGTCACCCTCCCACCTCCATGCTTGCCGTGGCCTGCCTCTCCTGACAGAAAAAAATCCCAGGCTCCTACTGCCACCTCGCCACGGCATACCCACCTCACAGTGACTAGGGTTATCTTGAACAGACACTACTGGGTTTCTCAGTGTGGGGAGGAACTTTAGGGACAGCCATACCCGCTAACCCTCCACAGATTCCCATCCATTTCTTCTGCTTCTCCCCAGACTGCTGAAGGTATTGTTGTGTCCATTAAGACCCAGAGGGGCAGGGTTCACATGGTTCATACTGTCTGGAGCTGATCAGGGAGGGGCTAGACACCAAAGCTGCCCAATTTGCTAGCATTCTATGTAAGGACTGAGCCCCTAAAAAAAGCCCTTTCAAAATTGTCACAAATATCTAAGTGACAGATGCTTAAGAATGGCTGCCAGAGCTGGAACAGGGAACAGTGTGTCTGCTAATTGACCGAGGGTTCCTTCAAAGCAATAAAAAATGTCCTGGAACTTGATAGAGTGATGGCTATACAATATGGTAAATGTGCAAAAACTCTATGAATTCTATACTTTAATATAGCAATTTGTATGTTCTGTGAATTTTACCTCAACAATACAATAAAATTGCCATGCAGCTGTTATGAATGCTGCGGTTCAGTTCCTTTCTTAAAGCAATTGTTTTCCTACCCCCTGGGGTGGTGGTGCTTGGGGGTCCACAGCCTGGAGTGGCCAAGCCTTCAGTTCTACTGTGAGAGCAGAGGAGGTGGTGTGGGCACTGGGGTACTGTTTAGCAACTTGTCATCTTCTAGACAGGTCTGCACCCATGGGGAGGAGAATGTTAAAGATGCCCGAAGTCGCCTGATTACCCGGTACCCATTGCTCCTGGAGTGATAGCAACCGCCTATCCCTTCAGGGACTGGCAAGAATCATCCCAGCCCACAGTAGACATGGCAGACCCCTGGGTGGGGCCTGGCATCAAGTCTCCCCTTGCCCACCTTCTGTTTAAATGCATCATCAGTCATGTCCTTCAAGTTGATGAGCACATTGAAGTATGCGCCAAACACACCTGTCTCCAAGGCTTTGACTGCCACCTGAAGAGACACCAGTGAAAGGGGCTACTTCTGGACCCACAATGCCTCTGTGCCTCTTGAAAATCTCAACCCTCGAGTCAGGACTGAGCACACTGACCCATCCTATGGGTTGACAGGCAAGGGCTCCATGCAGGGACCTGCATTCTTTATACCGTTAAGCCTGACCCTACTCACAGACGTCAGGCTAACATGGTCATTTTGGTCTGAGACCTGCACTTGGAGAAGGAATCCACTACTAATTTGAAGATGTGGTTCCAAGAGGCTGTGAAGGTGGAAGGTATGCCCTACAGGCCATCAGCCCCTCTGAACCCACCCTCAGCAACTGTTTGCTTGCAAACCAGAGCCACTCCCAGTAGAGAGGATCACTTCTCTGGGGCCTCTGGACCATACACTGAAAAGCACTGCATACTTTAGGGTTCCTCGGTTAGTTGGAGGAACTATGACCAGACTCTGTTTTGTCCCATCCCCAACACAGGACACAGCTGAGTGATGTCTACTTCACAGACGCTCGGGTATTTCCCCATATGTAGGGTGGTTTATCTGTAACCGGAGGCTCTGAAGACACCTAAGTTGCTGTTAACTGAGGGACAACGTTGAACAAGAATGTGGATGTCACCCTGAGCTGTTGGGACTCCTTGGCACCCCCATACCTGCAGGTCAGACAAGCAGGCCACATTTCCACATAGGGCCAGCTCCTTCAGCACTGGCCATAGCTGGGACACAGTCTCTGCCAGTTTCAGGGGCACAGCAACTGCCTGTCTCAGCCCCTCGGGGGAGGCGCGGGGGGGGGGGGGGGGGGGGGGGGGGGGGGGGGGGGGGAGGGGCAAAGTGTATTCTGACCCCAACCAGCACAGTCCCTTCCCAAAGGCTGGACACACAGACACAGGAGTGACAAAAAGATCATCACTCACTGCCCATGGTGCGCCTGTGCCAACTCCCCAGACACTGAGACCCAAAGGGTCCAGCGGGGCCACCTGGCCAGTACCATGCTCACCTGTCCCTCTCCTCCGGTGTGTTCTTGGGCAGCTTTATTGCCTCCTATGGGAAAAAAATGACCAAAACACACATGGTGAGGGCCTGGCTGTGTCCCTTGGCCATGCTGGAATGGCCTCGAGGAGAACCATGTCCTGGGACCTGGCAGCATGGGTAGCACTTACCCAGAGCCTCTAGGGTGGGCCTTTCCTACTGAAATACATCATATGCTAGAGGCAAGAACACATTCTTTGGGGACAATGTTTCTGTTGGTGTCTGTGGTCTACAGACCTTGGCACCTGGGTCTGAGTATCATAGGGCCCCATGGCCACCTGGAGAAGACAGGTGAGTGTCATTCTCTGGGGACCCTGCTTCTAGAAAAAGACGTCAAGAGCCTTAAGGGCCCCTGAACTCTTCCCATTATCCCCTCCTCCCCAGTACCAGGTTCTCGTGGTGCCAACTCAGATTTAAAATAATGCAAACAACTTTACCATGTCCAGTCTAAACACACAAGAGTGACAGTGACACCGGAAGCTCTAAGGCCTTCCCTGCCATGGTGCCACTTCTCTTGTCCCTGGCCATCTGTAGACCTGGCCTTTTTTCTGAATGGCTACAGGTAAGGTTTCACGGGAAGGGGCTCTGTGTGTTTTAAATGCTGTATGTCTCGCCCCCCCCCCCGACAGTCCCCTTCAATCTTGCAGGGTGGGACAGGATGGAGGGAAGCTGGCTGGGGGTGCACCTACTGTTGTTTGGTGTATTCACCCAGATCTCTACCAGAAAGTCATTAACAGTGGCTCTTCTACCAGCCAGGAGTGACAGCAGAGGCTAAGCACACATGAGTGTCCCAGCTAGCTTGTCACTATGTCATAACAGTTACCTGTCCTCAGGCACAGGGAATGTGGCGCTCAATTTAGCTTCTTGTCGTCTCTGACTTCCCTGCTACATCCCACGTAATCAGCCCTGTTTCCTAATTTAGTGTAAGTTTTTAACCATGTTTTCATTTTTTTGTTTTTATTACTTTTGTTATAACAGTTTTATTGTTTCAGTGAGAAAAGTGCATATCTAGCATTTTGCATCTATAAATTTCCTAAGTACTTAGTGGGTCTTCCCTTGTTTGTCCATTTAGTTCCAAAAATACATCTTCTTGGCTGCACGTAAGGGGCATTAATCAACCCAACATTACACAAACTTCATTTCATATCGCTATTCTGTATCTTCTCATATGCTTTTGATGTTTATTGTCTGTTTTCTTTGCTGTCTTCAATTAATTTTCATTTATCTGGCTTTCTCATATAACTGGTTTTTAAAGCATATTTCTTACTTCTAATGTCCAATGTTAGGGTTGTCTCTGAATTTCTAATATTTATATCTAAACTAACATTTCCCTTTAAATGTCTCTGTCTCTCTTTGTCTTTATATATCTGCCTGTGGCTATGTGTCTGTCTGCCTGTCTGTGTCTCTGTCTCTGTGTCTTTCTCTGCCTGTCTGTGTTCATATGTCTCAGTCACTCTTCGTCTGTCACTCTGGTCTTATCTCTCTGTCTCTATCTCCACCTCTCTGTGTCTCTGTATCTCTCTGTCTCTGTGCGTCTAATCTCTCTTCGCCACTCTGTATGGGTATCTCTCACTTCTAATCATTTCTTTCATCTTTTCTGAGTCTGGTCCTGCATCCTTGCCGTGTCCTCTCATCAGCCCACCACCTGTAATTATGTTTCAAGATTGTTTTTCCACCTCCAAAGTCTCCCTGTGGCTCCTGTTATCTTATGGCTGAGGGGCTCTTTCTAGTCTAAGTCCCTAATCTCCACATTTGTTCTGTTAAGGTTTCTATGACCTCCCCGGAGCTCTGGCCTGTTGGAGTGGTCAGGACTGGGGCGGGCCCCTGTAGTTTGCCCCTCGGAAGGGTACAGTGCTGGCCTTCCTGGTGGGCCAGATGATTTACAGAGAATCTAGAATCTGGGGTCCAGCTCTCACAGATCTCTGGCCTGGAAGCCAAGATCCTGGCTGGCCAGTCTGAGAGAAGTGTCTCTCCAGGGCCCCCTGCCACTATTCCTCCAGGACCCCCATTCTGCCCTCTTAAGCTCCCTTCCCTGGGCCAAGGTTCATGCTCTCCAGACCTGGACCCTCAAGGTTGCTGAAAGTAGGGGCTCCTAGGATAATGTCAGAGCAAGCCACCTTCTCAGTGTCCTGCCCCTGGCTCCAAATTTGCAGGCTACTTTGGCTAGCAAGCCTAGGCCTGGCAATTCCATGTGCTTACCAAATAGGCAGCAAAAGCCTGGGCATCAGCATCCACCAATGGGATCAGCTGGGCGGAGGCCGCGTGGAAGGGTGGGATCAGGCGCCGCATGGTGGAGTCCAGTCCATCAAACTGGCGCCGCCCGTAGGTCATCTGGCCCACCATGGAGGCCAGCGCCGCACCCTGGTAGGGGCAAGTTGTGGGGGCCACCAGGGCTCCTGGCCACCCCAGGCCAGAGCCCAGCGGGGAGCCCCAAGTGCAGGAAGATGAACTGTGGAATCTCATCCTGCAGGGCCCCCACTACAGAGTCCATCTCCCCCGAGTCCCACACTCCAGTATCCCCCACTATGAACCCCGCCCCCAGCCTGGGTCCTGCCATCTCTGGCTCTGCCCTCAGTGGGTCACCTCAGGTGCTCACCAGGGCTGCCACAGCCGCTGCTACAGAGCCGCCACCTGGGGCAGCAGAGCGGGCGCCCACCTCCCGTACAAAGCTGAGCAGTGACTTGTCCATCAGGCTCTGCTCGCATCCACTAGCTGGAACCAGGTACCTACCAGTGAGAACGGCTTAAAGAAAGACAGGCACACCCCCTTAACCCCAGCCCCCAGGAGAGCCTGGAGGAAGAGAAGCAGGACGGGGCGGGACCGACGCATGCAGAGAAGTTGAAGGAGCAGGCACCAGGCTTAAGCTTTGGAGACCAGGAAAGAGGAAGGGGGGGGGGTGTTAAAGCAAGGAAAGAGGGGGCAGGAAGCGGGCTGAGTGGAGCAGTGGGGTTAGGGGTGTGGGGCCTCACTCGATGACCCTCTCCTTAGGGTTGAAGGGAGCCAGGGAATCCAGGCCGAGCCGGTTCACCACCTGCAGGGGGAACATCTCACCTTAGCCCACTGCTCAGCTTAGCTTCACCTTGACAAAGTTTTGCCCACACTCCCTTGCCGGGAACCCTACCAGTTCGCTTCCTGACAGGTTGAGATCCACACAGAAACATTTCACACTCCCGTGGAAAACATGACCAAGAAAGGTTGCCCACCCTTCCTTCCCCTCACAACGGAGACTCCATGGGAGGGGCCCATTAAGCCTTTTCTTGGGATAGGATTCTAATTCAGAATCTAGCAGATTCTTACAATCAGGGGCAACCTCGATTCAACTATACATAAATGTGAGGAAAACTGAATTTCACCCAAATTCATGATACGCTGAAAACATTCGGTTTAAGATTAGCATTCTCTCAAAAAACCAAAAAAAAAAAAAAGATTAGAATTCATCTCAACCAAAAAAAACAAAACTATTCAACCAGTTATGAAGCTATGCAATGGTGACAACACATTTCACTTTCTAAAAGCAGAACCGGCCACACACACACTTGAAGGATACAAGCCAGGTGCACTCCAAAGGAGGTTCTGGAGATGGGTAAAGGATGCCACCTAAGTGTTAGGTCACATATTAATCAAGAAGTAAGGGATACTCTCCATGAAAGGATGGGAAAATAAAACATCTCCCCAGAGCAGATCCTGGGCCCAGTGAGCTGAGCAAAGGGGCCGTAGACAAGCAGAACTGCTTTGGAAGAGAGGCATGGGTAGATGGGACCAGGGGAGGTATAGCCTGGGACACATGGACCCAAATCCATAAACTACATGGGTGTAAGGAACCCGAAGGAGGGGGCTGGCAGCAGACACGACTCAGCCCAGGAGCTGAGAAGGCAGAGAACATAAAGTTTATGTGGTACAAGTCACAAAGGAAACCTTCATAATGATCTAAACGACAATGAAAACGGAAAATCTTCTAACTAGGAGTCAAGAGCTGGCGATGGAGCTCGGTCAGTAAAGTGCTTGCCATGCAAGCACAAAACCTTGAGTTAGGTCCCCAGGAACCATATCATTAATTAATTAATTAATAATCCTGTCATGGTGGCAAGCACATTACTTGCAATCCCAATACTGGGAAAGTGGAGACAGGAGACCTAGCCTACTTGGTGCATTCCAGGTCAGTGAGAGACCCTGTTTCCAAAAATAAATAAATAAATAAATAAATAAATAAATAAATAAACAAACAAACAGGTGGCAAGCACCTTAGAAATGTTACACCTAGCTGGGCGGTGGTGGCGCATGCCTTTAATCCCAGCACTCAGGAGACAGAGGCAGGTGAATCTCTGTGAGTTCGAGACCAGCCTGATCTACAGAGTGAGTTACAGGACAGCCAGGGCTATTACACAGAGTAAGCCTGTCTCAAAAAAACAAACAATAAAAGTGACACCTAAAGTTGCCTTCTGTCTTACACACACACACACACACACACACACACACACTCACACAGGTACGTGCACGCATGCATGTGTGCCAATAAAACAAAGGAGTTGAAGGAAGAGCAGGATTTTGGATTTTGGGTGGGCTCTTATGGAAATATCAGCTTGCTCCTGAAGCAGCTGAAGGCCTACAGCCTCCATGCCGCCCTTGACATCCCACTCCCAAAATGAGCACAGCCCACCAGCCGTATCCGGTGCTCCTCCTCCAGAACAAACAGATTCTCCTTGTCACAGTAGAAGGCTGCGGCATCCAGTAAGGCCTTCAGAGGCACCAGGCCCACCAGCTGCGAGCCCACCACTGGGAGATTCAGCTCCTGTGAGACAGAGGCGAGGTCAGCGTCTGGGGGTTTCCAAGTGTGAGGAGGGTGTGGCCACCTGCCCTGCCCACCTGAGCCTCTCTGCAGGCCTCCTCATAGACTGTGTGCAGAGCTGTGACCTCAAAGTCCAGGAGGTTTGTGGACACCTGAGCCAGGTTCTTCTCATCCAGGTACCAGCCGATGCCCTGAACCTTTTTCAGACGTCCTGGCTACAAAAGAGAAGCATTCCCCAGCCTGGGCTAAGAATATGAGCTCTGGATGGCCCCTGCCCAGCCTTCATAATGCCTGGCTCTGAGAGCCACTTTTGTGCTTTTGTTCCCTAGCCTGATGAGTCAGGCAAGGTGGACCTGATGGCTGGGCTGGTACTGTGGCTCTCCTTGCTCTATCTTCCTTGGTCTGGCTAGAGAGACAAGGCAAAACCTCACCTAACACATGAAAACTGAGGCCCAGTCTCTGACCATACCATGTCCTAGAGACCTACGGACACTGTTGTGGGAAGCCAGGGGAAGTCCCAACTCCCCGTATCATCCATGTCCCACACGCTTGTCACTTCCGTCACTCTGATTCTGTCTTTGACAACCTGAGTGAGGCAGGAACTCTGACCTCACCTTTGGAAGGCACATACAGGACTCAGGACTCACTGTGCTTCGTGTTGTGCTTACAGACAGTTGACTCTGCAGCAAGCTAGGCTCCTGGAGTCTTACTTACCTAGTAAGATGTGAGGGTGGGACAGATGGCAATTGACCTCCTGTCACCGTGTATGTCTATGTCACCTGTGTCTGATATGGACTCTGAAGAAGAGATGCTCAAGCTAGTGGGCAACTTCTTTGCAGACCTGGTAGAGAACTTCTCCAGAACACCTGAAGGTTTACTGAGGCATTGTGTGTGTGTGTCTCTATGTATGTGTATGTGTGTATCTATATGTGTGTCTGTGTCTGTGTCTGTATGTATCTATGTGTATGTGTGTGTGTGTATGTGTATCTGTGTGTGTGTGTATGTGTCTATGTGTGTCTGTGTGTCTGTATGTATCTATGTGTGTGTGTGTGTGTATCTGTGTGTGTGTGTATGTGTCTGTGTGTGTCTGTGTGTCTGTATGTATCTATGTGTGTGTGTGTGTGTATATCTGGGTGTGTATGTGTCTGTGTGTGTCTGTGTATGTGTCTGTGTGTCTATATGTATCTGTGTGTGTGTGTGTGTGTGTGTGTGTGTGTGTGTGTATGTGCGTGCATGGCTGGTGAGGGCAGGGTGGAAATATTTAGAGCATCTGTAAGGACATGGGGATGTGAAAACATCTAGGACTACTAGGCAGCTGTCTACACAGAAGCCTGACCTTGTCTGTTAAACCAAGGGCAACTGGGGTTGCTGGAGAGAGATGGCTCGGTGATTAAAAACAACTGGCTGCTTTTCCAGAGGATCTGGGTTTGATTCCCAACACCCACATGATGGCTCATAATCACTTCCGTCCCAAGGGACCCAGCACCCTCTTCTGGAACACATGCAAGCAAAGCACATAAAATTTCAAACACTGGCCTCTGACCCTGAGACCCCACATGGCTGTGACACTAACATGAACAATCCCCCCTCCCCCCCAGAGGGCTCCAAGGAAGATCCCTGGAGGATGGGACAGCAAGCCCGAAGCTACCCACCTGGTCTTTCCCTCGGCCCTGCTCACGCAGGTTGAGAGCAATGCGATGGGCCTGTTCCTTGGTGCTGAGCAGGTTGATGTTAAATGCAATGAGGAATTTCCGTGCACCTGTGACAGTGGCACCCCAACTGGGGACAAAGGAGCTAGGGCCGAAGTCAGGCACCCACTCTGCCTGCTTGAGCTGCAGGAACATTCACATGGGGTGAGGTGGAGGGGACCCAGACGTACCCTCTGCCCCCAGGGGAATAAAATGGCAGGGAGGCCACCCTCTCACACCCAGCCGCCTATCGGGGCAGCACCTTCTCAGGCAGGGCCTCATACTCCCCAGCCCGGATAGCCGGCAGGGTCTGGCGGCTGGGTGTCTGCGCAGCCTCACCGTAGAGGTACACTGCAAAGGAAGCCAACTGGTCAGCTGCTTCGCTGGGCAGAATCCAGGATCCTAGTCCCACAGGGGCCCAGGCAGGGTGGCTCTTTCCAATTTTAGCTTCCTTGGCTTATTCTCCCTGGGGATCCCCACCTTCTCCAAACTTTTGGAGTGGGTGGGTATTTCGGTGCAGATGGCATAACATATGCTTCCCACCCACCCAAAACCAGTGCCGTCGAGGAAGACATGCTTCTGGGAGTTAGGGTAGAATATGTGGGGAGCGCTAATAGAATACTCTCAGGTTTCTTTTTTTAAATGTATTTTTACTGTGTGGTGAATCTGTCCTCACAGGAGGAGAAAAACAGAACTTGCTGTACACATGGGCCTTAGCCTCGGATGTTAGCTTTTGTTTATGGCGACAACAGAGCCTGGCTGGGTTCCACCCTGTGCTGCCATATGGACTGTCTATCCTAGTGCCTCCCACAACACTACGTTGTGTATTCTATTCCTAGTTTGTCCCCTACCATTTTCTTGACCTAGTTAGTTTCCCCAAACGAAATCTTTTCCCCCATTTTTCATGTGTGCATGGTATGCATTTGTACATGCATGCTTATGCCTTTGTATGAGCTCATTGCATGTGTATTTATGTGTGTAGAGGCCCTGGGTTGGTATCAGGAATCATCCCTAGTCATTCTTCAACTTCATTCATTGAGGTGGGTCTCTCAATCCCACCCAGAACTCCTGGCATGATCAGCCTGATAACCAGCTTGTTCTGTCTCTGCCTTACACAGCTGGAATTACAGGTGAGTCACCACGCCCATCTGCATTTATGGAGGCCCCTGGAAATCTGAACACTGGTCCTCATGCTTGAGTGGCAGATGCTTCAACCAGTGAGCCATCTATCCAGCCCCAAATTCTCTCCATTTATACGGCTCAGCAAGTTAAACCGCTTTACCAGGTGGTCAAACAAAGTCCACTGCCCAACAAGCAGGATGGGACATGCAGTGGCATTCACTCTGCTGTGGTTGTCACTTCTGCTTGCATTTGTTTCATTATCTAAGAAGCTGAGGCAATCAACAAACAACCAAGGCTAAATTCCCTGTTCCTATGCAACAATCCAGCAGAATTCTGTTTCAACTCTGTGTTAGGAAATTGTGACCACTTGTTATGGCAAGATTTTTATCTAGAAGGTATAAATTGCTCTCAGCATTGTTTTACCAATAAGCATGATTAAAAACATTGACATTTAGAAACTAAAAATATGAAATAAATTTTACCTGTCCTTGAGGGGAAAAAAAAAGAAGAAGAAGCTGAAGCCGGTGGGGATTGCTCACAGTATTCTTCCTTTCTTTTCTATTATTTCTTCCTTCCTTCCTTTCTTGGTAGAGATATGTATTTGTTTTATTTTGGCTTATTTATTTATTTATGTATTGGAATAGTATCTATATAGCCCAAGCTTTCCTGAAACTCTCTATGTAGAGCAAGCTGGCCTTGAACTCATAGAGATCTGCCTGCCTCTGCCTCCTGAGCTCCGGGATTAAATGTGTGCCTCCATGCTAGGCATGATCTGAAAAGTTGTCAAGGGCATATCAAGGGAACCAGAGCATGTGCCAGAGATTGGAATCCAGAGATGCCCCAAAAGCGATCCTCCCAGACACTCACCTGGTACATTGAGCTCCTCTGCCAGCCGCTGGCCAAAGGCCTTAGCACAGAGCACACACTCAACCATGCTGACGTCCCTCACTGGGATGAAGGGACAAACATCCAGAGCACCCATGCGAGGGTGCTCTCCTGCAGAAAAGGGGGCAGGTCATCACCCTTACAGCCATCCACACTGACTGCAGCCATTCCTCTCAGGCTGGACTATTAGGGATGCCACAGAACATGGGGACTATCCTTGTTGCTATGGCTGGCAAGAGAAGTACTTAAAGCCCTGGAGAAGGGGTAGGACTTGCATGAGCTGACCCTTTATAATTTTCCCCACCCATCCCCCTACAAGGCCAAGGCCTTTGGTGACACCTTGCCAGGCTGAAATTATCTGGTCATGGTCTGGCCCTGCCACCCTTCTTGGCAGCAGAGAATCCACACCAGATCCAGATACTGTGCCTGACCCCTCCTAACCTTGACAACCCTGCTATTTACTCCCTACCATGACCTCTGGAGAACCTCTCCCCGAGAACAGACACAGGCCTTGGCCTTAGCCCAGCTCTGTGTGTCCACCAACCTTTGACCCTACCCACCCCCTCCATCGTGTTTGGTTTTTAGGCAATTGACAAGTTTGCTTCCTAGTGCAGTGTCCTCTTCTGCCTCCCCCAGGCCTCAGTCTAGTCAAGACCTTGGGATGAGCCCCTGCAGACCATCACTGAATCACTGAACTCCAAATGAGAGGTGCCCACTCTAGACAGCAAGTCGATCTCCATAGCCTGTATCCTAGGGCCATCTCCCTGCCTTTAGCCCAATCCATTACTGGGAATGGGTGCCAAGGCCACACTAGGGCACACCATGTAGCCCTGACCCTAGTCCTGGGGGAACCTTCAAGAAGAAGCCTGCCCACAGCAGGCTTACACTCCATGCCCATGCCCATGCCCATGCCCAGGGTCTGCCCCTCTCCCAGGACACGATGGCACATGCTCAGCCTGGAAGCTGAGACATGGGAGGCCTGGCCCCGTTCAAGTCCTGAGCTGCCTCACCCGTGTGCTTGCTCATGTCAATGAGCTGCCAGGCTGTGCGGGCAGCATTGAGGGCTCCCTCAACCACACACTCTGGCTGCCCCACGAAAGTGTACACAGTGCGGTTGGTGGAGGGTCCAGCATCAACGTCCAGTAGCACACAGCCTGGGGTCTGGGAGATGGCTCGAGAGATGGCATCAATCACCTGGAGACAGAGGCCCAACACCATGCCTCAGTCCCTCCTAGGAGAAGCTGTAGCCTCACACCCAAGTGTGATCTCAAGGGGGTTTTTGTGGGGGAGGGGAGTCTTCCAAAAAGCTAAACGTCAGCCCAAATACCCACGTGGCACAACAAGGAAGGCCCCCGTGGCAGTGGCCATTTCCATCCCAGGTTCAGGTTGGCCCAGAAAAATAAGTAATGGGCCTACTGCCAATACCCAGACACTCAGAGGGGGGTGGACAGAGTGACAGTCTTCCAGTGGACACAGCAGGGTAGGGGACCATCCGCTAATATGGAAAAGCAGCCTGGTGAGCACAGAACCTTCCAGGTCAGGAGCTGGGGCTCAGAGCTCAAACCCTACCCTGAGGAACCCTCTTTGCCTCAGTTTCCCCATCATGTAAGAGGGCTGATAACAGTGCTTGCATCACAAGGTTTCATGGGTGAGGAAAGAGTTAATACATGTGGGCGTGACCTTTCCTGTGACCTCAGATAGCTCTCTGTATCAGACTTCAAGGTCCTTTGTTTTCAGATAGGAACACTGAGGTCAAGGGATTCATGACCCCACCAGGAGCATTCCAAAATCCCCCAGGCCCACCGCCAGAGTCCCCCACATCCGTGGAATGTTCCAGAGCTGGCAGAGATGGCTCCTTTGAGGGTACCAGTAGGCTGTGGCTCTGCCCGTCTGGGAAGGCATCTCCTCCCACACCAAACTCACTACCTTCCTTGTGACCAGAGCACCCACATACTCTGCCAGCCCCAAAGAAGCCTCACCTCCTGGTCATTCCCCTCTGAGAAGTTGGGGACACATTCCACCAACTGGGACATGGTCAGCACCTGAGTCTAGTCGCTCCTCGCAAAAGGCAGTAGAGAGACTCGGAGTGGCAGATCTCTGGTGGCCCTGGGGCCTTTATACGTCCTCACACTAGTTTCTTATTAACCAGGGACAGTGTGAAGTGAGCTGGAGAGTGTGGGGTACTCCCCAGTTAAGTACATGCTCTCCAGGATGAGCTCTCCAAAAATCATATGCTCAGAGGGGCACATGCTGAGGATTCTTGGAGGCCTAGAGGGGCTACGTTCAGGCTAGGGCATCAAGGCCCAGCTTGGTCCAGGGCTGCCTGTTGTCCATCCAGAAGACAAAGTTTTGACCTCCTTTTGGGAGGAGGACCCATGGGACTTCTGGGTAGGTATCTTTTCATAGAGGGGCTGGTTCTCAGGGATGTGGGGAGGGAGGCCATGTGAGGCCTACAGAAGTCAGCTGAGCTCAGAGAGGCAGGAGAGTGTGTCGGGTGGGAGCAAGAATCTGTGCAACCATCTATATATATATATATATGTGTGTGTGTGTGTGTGTGTGTGTGTGTGTGTGTGTGTGTGTGTGTTTAAGTGTGCAATCCATGGGGTATGTGTACATGTGGGTGAATTGTGAGGATATGAGTGTCTATAGGGTTACGTGTGAATATGTAGGGGTTGGTGTGACCACAGACCATTCTGATCTGGCAATCACTCAGTTGAAGGTCTCTGTTCCCAGGAGACTCTAGGTTGCATCAAATCAATAATTAAAACTAACCAGCACAATGTATATGGTGTTGTGTTAACATGTGTGCAGTGTTAGTGTGTAAGCATGCATGTGGGCACTGGGATGAGTGCTCGTGTGCAGACGTTAATGTTTGCATCTATGTGGGTGTTGTTATGTATATGAGTGAATATTGGTATGAGCATGTATAGATGGTGTGTGTGTGTGTGTGTGTGTGTGTGTGTCTGTGTGTGTAGATACTTGAGTGAGGATACATGTGCACATGTTGACATTGCATGTGCACGTGGCTGTTGTAGGTGTGAGTGCACACTGGCAATTGGTGCGAGTGTGGTGGGCGAAGCTGTTGCATGTGATTTGCTATGTGGTATTGTGTTCCCAGGGGTAGGCAGGTGAAGAGAGCCCAAGTTCTCCTTACCACTGATTCTGGATCCAAAACTTGTTAAAGTTTACAGCCGCATGAGAACGGCAAGATCCACGTTCCTTCTTTGCAATTCTTAATTCCAGGAAGAGGCTGGTGTATCCCTTCTGTGTGGGGTCCACAGATCTTATCACAGTGCTGGACACACATGCACATCCCAGAGACAGAGCCCTTCTCAGGGGCCTTCCTACCCACATACTCCACAAAGCCTTTGGTGGTCTCAGAGTGTCAAGATACAACACCGCACAGCATTGCTGGGCCTGGGTGAAGTGATGCATGTGACCGTGGAGACTCAGTCTCCCTTGTTGAAGGTACCACACGGCTGAAATAACCAGAAGTGAAATGCTGAGCACAGACACAAATGCAGAAACCCAGGAGTCCAAAAATAAATGACAGATTGCCCACATAGAAATATCCCAAATCATTCATACAGACATTGGCCCTGGGTGGGTAGAGCATGACTCCACCCCTTCAGTGTGGGCTCTGGCCACAGGAAACCAGTCCCAACCTATACCCATCTCAGGGGACTCAGCCAAATTATACCACTGTCAAAGTTTGCCTGAATCACGCACACACACACACACACAGACACACACACACACACACACACACACACACACACACACATACACACACACACATCTTCACTACTGTCCTATCTTCTTTCATGCAGGAACATCCTCAAGCCTTCTAAACAACACACCAGATACTGCAATCTGGGAGGAGCTCTGTAGAGGTTCTGAGCCCTATTCTCTTGAAACCCTTGAAAGCCTGGGCCTACCACGTGCATGGAGGATAGTGAAGTGAACACACAACCCCCTGGGACCACTCAGAGCTGAGCTCAAGACCTTGGGGACACCATGATCCTCTGGGTTTGGGTTTGTTATGTCCCCAAAAGGCTCATTGTTGACAGCTTGGTCTTGACAATGTTACTGTTAAGAGAAGGCACTTTGGGGGTACGATTAGATCATGATCTTAGATGGATTAAGCCATTGATGAGTTCATAGCGAATGCAGTATTGGGAGCTGGTAGAAACTGTAGGAGGTGGGGGCCTGGCTGGAAGAGATAGATCCCTGGGAGTTTGCCCCTGAAGAGGGTGTAGCTTGTCCCACAACCATGTTCTGTCTTTGCTTCCTGGACACTGAAATGAACAGCTCTGTTCTATCATACACCCCCTGCCCTGATATTTGCTCCATCCTAGGCCCAGAGACAATGGAGCCAGCTACGCATGGCCTGAAACCTCGGAAATGGGAGCTAAAGAAACCTATCACTAATTTGACTTTTTCGGGTGACTTACTACAATGATGGAAAGCTGACTAACACAGACTCATAGTCAAGTCCAAGTCCAAGAGTCCAGCTTTTCCAAGCCTGAAGCCCAGAGTCCACGTCACTCAGTCCCCTGCCCTTCCACTCCCCAGGGGTCATTTTCCCACTTGTTTTCTACTTACTCTTTTACAAATCCATAACGCCTTGGTGCCTCACTATTTGGAGAAGCCAATGTTTCCACTGTGATCTAGATAACTCCTGGTGTATAAACATGTCTTTGTTATGCAAAATGACCAACTCAAAGCCCACTTCTTCATTTAACTCTCCCCAAGCCAAGTGCCCCTGGCCTCCAAACCACACAGGGCTAGGTACTTGGTCAGTAGACACCCTCCTGTATCTTTGCCTACGGAAGCTAAACTCCCTACTCCTATATAGTATGTTCATACTTACCCACCCTGCCTCACCCATTCCTCAAACCACCACAGGCCCTCGCTCCTTCGAAGCATCCTGACCGACCTCCACATCGCCCTGCACAGCAGCAGGATATGCCTCCTATTGGAATTTTGAGATCAGCATACTCCCCTCTCACTCCATGTCTGCCAGCCCACTGTACCTAATTAAACAAACCCAGGTATACTTACCCTTATCCCTTACCTCAGGTTTGCAGGAAGCATCCAGTTGCTGACTTCAAGGGGAAGTGGCTGTGGCCTATCTGGCTAAGACAACAGACATAGCTAGGGCTGTGGTCTGACAGCTCCCAGTGCAGTCATTTTAGATGAGGTCCTGCTCCCTGCCTTGCCTTGCTTTTATCACCTTAAAGGTGACTCCAAAGGAGGTTAGCTGAGCCAGAGCCTCTCAAGGGCTTAGGCAACTCCAGGCTAGCTAGACACTCCCCTGGTATCAGGTTTGGCCTCTTCCTTCACCAAGACCCAGCACTTCCTTCAACCGATAGGCATCACAGAACTGAACACATATGCCAAGCGGAGTAGGGTCCCTCGAGGGTGTCGCTGAGGGTGTCACTCGGTATTCTGGCTCCAACAGTTTAGTGAGCAAGACGGAAGCCCTACCCTCAAAAGTCAGAGGCCAGCACAGGGACCGGCTTGAGGGACCTGCACTGCCTGAGCCACCTCTGCTCTTAAACTTGCCAAGAGTCACAAGATTCTACACCTTTATCTGGATCCCTAGCCCCAAGCCCACCGATTCACCGAGGGGTCCATCTCTTTGCTGTAGGGCTGACTCTATTGCAGTGAACATGCACACCGGGAGGTGCCTGTGGGGTGGGAATTGACGTGAAGTTGCAGCAGCCTTGCCACTCAGGTCAATATCCAAGAACATTGTAGGCCTCCTGGGTCCCAAGAACTAAGCCCCATCAGCACTTAGTGGTCCCTTCCTTATATTGCTGCTCCTTGCTTAATTCTTGGGCCAGTATGTGCTCAGTCACACAGGCCACACACAGACTTGACACACTCTGTCATCATAGACCAAAGTCCCTAGCTTTGATTGCAGAGCCTTCCATTCTGATAGGCTCTGCAGGTTCCACAGCCATTTCGCCTCCAGCTCTGCATTTGGGGAAACCCAAAATAGAAGAGGACTTGCTGGTCTGTCCTTTCACGGGAGAGACTGAGGCCTTCAAGGATGCTGTACTATCTCTGAGGAAAATAGGTGGCCACAGTCCTGGAGTTAAGAGCCCCGGAATCAGCCCAGCCCCGGCTTCTGTTCATAAACACTGATCCACAGCTCTTGTAGGCCAATAGAGACTAAGACACCTCACCACGCCCTCAAAGAGCCAGAGAAGGCAAACGAATAAATAAGCTTTTAATAAGGCAACAGGTGCCCGGCAACTGTGAGCGGCCGGACCTGCTGGGTGCACAGGGCAAGCGCAGACCTGGAGGAGGCCTCTCCCCACTGTAGCTGGGCAGACAGCTTTCCATGCTGGAGGACTTGGGTGGCCCCCCGGGTTTGGAATAAACACGTTTATTGCAGGAAGGGTGAGGTGAGCGGCTCACCAGGCGAAGAGCGGCTTGCTGTCCTCCTTGGAGAGTTCACACAGGCAGTTCAGCAGTAGCAGGGAGTCACCCAGGAACTTGGGGGGCACAATGTCGATGACTAGCTTGCGCAGCGCAGCGGGGCTGCTGTGAAGTGGGTTGGCCCTCAAGTCCGGACGCTGCTTCAGGATGCCGTAGGTATTGATGAGAAACTCGCTGAACACCGGGTGTACTTCGCGGCTGTACCCCAGCTTCTCCAGCCGGGCTGTCAGAGTCAGATAGCGATGTGTCAGCTCACGAAGCTTCTTCTCATCCACTGAGCCGTCTAGGGACTTGATAGATGTCTGAGGGACACAGAAGAGTGGAGACAAGGCACCAGGTCAGAGAAGTCTCTGACCCTAGTGGAAGTAGGTGGGATAGGGCAGACTTGGGGGGCTAGAGGGGAAGTGGAGGCCCCAGGCCCTTTCAGCACTTCAGAGGGATGAGCCCGTGGGGGGGGGTACCTGCAATTGGACTTGGACTTGGGGAGGGATCTGCCAGCATTACCAGCACCACGATGTAGCCCCAGTACCAGCCCTGATCTGGGGCAAGAAAGACAGTGTACCTGCTTGATCTTCTCAGGGATGTTGGATACTGTGAAGCCATAGAGGCGTGTCACTCCTGGGAACACATAGGCCAAGATCCGCCGGTCAAGTTGGAATGCAATCTCCCCGACAATGCGGCCGTCCTTCTCCGCACCCGCAAAACTCTGGATTTCTGGATGAGATAGGTGCCATCCTGACCATTTCAAGGCACCAAGGTACCTTTGCCCCCCATTGCCAGAGTGAATAAAAATCTTTAAAATTTTTTTAAAGCCAGAGAGGGGACTTTCTCACTCTGTTTACTCTTAGCATGTTTCCCTAGGATCTGGACACATGATTCCATTCTCTGCCTGAGATGCCACAAGGCAAGTGAACCCTGAGGAAGACAGTGGGGTCCCTGGGGAGGATAGCACCCGGGTCTATCAAGGTAGAGTGGGGCTCTCCCTGTTGTTCCCAGAGGCCACCCCACCAACTCATCCTTCTCTGAGGACTGTGGGAGCATCACAGCCTGGCTCCAGAAAGGACTAGCTTCTTCCAGTCCACAGCATCGCCCTCATAGACTAAAGTTCAGTATCAACCTGATCTTGCCTATGTCTGTGGAAAGGATAATGGGCTAATAAAAGATTCTCTTCTCAGAACACTTGGATCCTTCTTCACCCTGGCATCCCCTGTTCCCACTCCCCTACCACCCCACCCCCCGCAAAAACATAAACAAAACAACAACAGCCTCCAAATAACCCTTCTGCCTACAGCAGCCTCTGGTGTCATATAAATCATTATTAAACAACACAGTATATATCAACATCCTTTCAAAACCTTATGCTCTTTGAAAAATGAACCTCTTCTGAATTTGAGAAAGGACCTGTTGTTCTTGTGGGAAACTCTCTGGTATCTATGGGGCGCATGTTGACCTGTCACTCTGAGGGGGTAAGCTCCATGATCCCTCTCGGTCCAGTTCCTAAATTACAGAGCACAGGATGGTAGCACGGGTAACTTCAGCCAGGGAGCCCCCCACCCCCACCCCACATCCCATATGCTGCTCTTGTTAAGTAGTATCACTCCTGAGCTTCGCACGTCCACACTGGAAGCAGACATAGGACAGTATGCTCACACCTAGGCACTTTCCAGACAAGACCTGTGACACAAACCCTCGCAGGATGCCAGTTTGGTGAGGTCCTGTGGATCTGACCCAAAAGCTGCAACGGTCCATGAACAACACAGCTGACAAAGTCCAGGTCCTGTGCCCACTGCAGTAGCTCAGCATCCACACTCAAGACACTGATAACCACACCGAGAAGTGGGCCCTGGGCCCCGCTGCTGGTGCCATGTGACCTTGAACATTGTTGGTATGTCCACATCGGCCTGAGACCCAGGATGGCTTGCTGTCCTCCTTACAGCCATGAGAGAATGAAGGGGCTGACCCTAAAGCTAATTCTGCCTATACCCTTGGTCAAGCAGTTGTCCATCAGGTATCAGGCCCTAAGCCAGGGTCTGTGATACACACTGACCAGGATGACACTGTGCCGAAAAGCATGTACACCTGTGAATACCAGTTACTCTGGTAAGTGAAACAACCATGGAGAAGCCTGACTAGAAGGAAAAGTGGGAACCCCAACCTGGGCTTATAGAATAGGGAACATGGCAGATGAGGGCAGAGTACTTAGAAGTAGGATCAGCTAGTACCTCCCTTGCAAGACCAGCCTCTCCCAAAGTCAAATAGTCTATACATTTCCCATGTGTGACCTGTGAAGCACTGTCACTACCAGCCAGTGCAGAGAGGCCAAGAATCCCCATCCTGCCCTCCTGCATAGACTCCCGGGCAGTAGGAGTCAATGGCTTTGGGTTCATGGTACCTGCAGAACTATACTCTTCCCCCAGCCTGTTCTGGTTATGAAAACAACCAGAGGGCACAGGCCAATAAAGAAAGTGAACTTTGCTCTTCTCTGTGACCTTGGCTCAGCCTAGTTGAAAGAAGAGAGCTTCCTCAAAGAGAGTGACACTCATGACAGGGAATGTCCTTCCAAGCAAGGCAGACCAGCAAGCAGCCAGGCCAACAGCACACCCTGTTTTCATTTCATCCACATGAGAATCCTTTGAGGAAACCTCAGATCCAGTATAGCAGACTGAGGTCACCTGATTCCCCAGCAGATTAAAAGTCCGTTATCAGAACAAAATCCACATACTATAACTCTCGCATTTTTAAACCAGAGTCACACAGCCATCACCACTATGGCTTTAAGAAGTTCACATGACCTCCCATAGCAAAGGAACCATCCCTTTTTCCTTCTCCAGCCCCTGCAAGTAGCGCTATGTCTTATGGACTTATCTAAGACGGGAGTGTCATGTAGGTGGAATACACAGTCGGCATCCTTTCCTGTCTGACATCACCCACTTGGCATAATGTTTTCAAGGTCCATCCTTGTAGCACACCAGTGCTCCATTATCCCTATCGGCTGCTGAATAACATCCCATCATATAAATAAGCTACATTTGATCTGCCTGTTTATTAGTAGATGGATGTTTGTGCTGTTTCCCTCTTTGGGCCATTGTGAATAAGGCTGCTATGGTCAGTCCTGTGAAAGTTTCTGTGTGAACATGTTCCAGTTCTTTGGGTGAATACCGAGGAATGGGATTCTTGGGTCATAAGGTTTATAACCTTTGGAGGACCTTAGTGGCTGCACTATTTTGCATTCCCATCAGTGCTCAAAGAAAATCCCCTCCCCCATCTTACACCACTGTTGCCCTTTTGTGTCACTGCAGATGGGGACAGAACATGGGTCTCCTTGTGGCTGTCATTGGGAGAATGTTAATGGTGCATATTGACCAGTTAGCTGTCATCTTTGAAGAGTTATCCGCCTAAGTCCTTTGCACATTTTGTAAAAACAGAGTCTTGCTGTACAGTCCAAGCTGGGCTAAAACTAGAGATTCTTTTGTCTCCATCTCCTAAGTCAGTGGTTCTCAACCTTTGGGTTACAACTCCTTTGGGACTGAATTGTGACAAACGTGTAAGAAATAAATAAGAGCTGGGCAGTTGTGGCAAATGCCTTAATCCCAGTGATCAAGAGGCAGAAGCAGGTGGATTTCTGAGTTCAAGGCCAGCCTGGTCTACAGAGCAAGTTCCCGGATAACCATGGCTACACAGAGAAACCCTGTCTTGAAAAAACTAAGAGGGGAAGAAAGAAAGAAAGAAAGAAAGAAAGAAAGAAAGAAAGAGAGAGAGAGAGAGAGAAAGAAAGAGTGTGAGAGAGATAAGGAAGGAAGGAATGAAGGAAGGAAGGAAAGAAGGGAGAAAGAGAAGACAAATATGGCATAAATTCTTCCAGCTAAATAAGAAAACTGTAACACTGTCTATCTCATTCTTTGGGGCCATCAATTTATACCAAATCAGAAAATTGCATGAAAACTGAAGAATGGTATCTCACATGAATAGCACACATTCTTAACAAAATTTTAGCAAGCAGAATTCAACAAGGTGAAAAAGTAAAATACATCATCATCAAATGAAGTTTATCTCAGGAATGCAAGGTTAGTTTAACATTAAAAAATTAGTAAGTGTGATTTAATATAGGCTATGATATGAATGGGATCTCTAAAGGTACAGGTTTAGATTCAGGGTAGTAGTATTATGGGCCTGTAAAGTAGAGCCTGGTACCGGCAGGTCCTTAGCTCACTGAGAGTACGTCCTCATACAGACTGTGGGACTTAAGCCCTCTACCCCTTCTCTCTACATCTTGCCAGTGCCTCCCTCACCAGAATCACAAATCCAAGGGACAACTTGATCTTAGACTTGAGCCTCCCAAACCATGAACCAAAACAAATTTACTTTGTAGGTAGCTTGTTTCTAGTGTTTCGTCACAGTGATGAAAAGTTAAAGTATCTTATTAACATCAGGAAAAACTATTCTCAATAGATGTTGAAAAAGTATTCAACAAAATTCTAACATCTGTTTGTGATAAATCAGCAAACTAGAAACCAAAGCAAATTTCTTTAGCCTAATAAGAGGTGTCTACAAAAACTTCAACTAGTGTCAAGCTTCATAGTTAACACATGAAAGTTTCCCCTAACTAGAAATAGACAAAGATGTCACTATCATCATTCCTGCTCTACACTGGTTTACAGACCTAGCCAGTGTAACAGAATAAGAAAAAGAAATTGAGATATAGTTAGAAATAAAACAATGAGCTTGTCTTCCTTCACAAATGACATAATTGGACAGGAATATATAGTTCAGCAGTAAACAGGGTGCTTGCCTAGCATGCTGGGCCCTGGGTTCAGTCTCTACTGAAAAAAAAAAAAAAAAAAAAAAAAAAAAAAAAACAAAAACCCAGAAACAGAAGGAATCTATCAAAACAGTTACCAGTTTGGTAAATTTTTGGAACACAAATTATATTCATCAATGTTCTCCAAAGAAACAGAACCATTGGGTGTGTGTGTGTGTGTGTGTGTGTGTGGTGTGTGTGTGTGTGTGTGGTGGGGTGTGTGTGTGTGTGTGTGTGTGTGTGTGTGGTGTGTGTGTGTGTGTGTGGTGGGGTGTGTGTGTGTGTGTGTGTGTGTGTGTGTGGTATGTATGTATGTGTCTGGTGTGGTGTGTGTGTGTGTGTGTGTGTGTGTGTTTACAGAGGGATTCATTATAAGAATTTGCATGGTTATTAAATCCCACAGATCTTGAGAACTGAGGTTGGCAAATAGAAAAGTCAAGTAAAATTATACAGAACTGTTAAAGTTAAAGCTTTCTTTTTCTTTAGGCAGAAAAGAGGAGATGATGGGGGATTCCTGTATGCTATGAATATATGTTTTTCTTATTGGTTTAATAAAATGCTGATTGTCCAGTAGCCAGGAAGGGAGTATAGGTGGGGCTACCAGGCAAGGAAAATGCTGGGAAGAAAAAGGCAGAGAGAGAGAGAGCCAATAGGGAGACACCATGTAGCTGTTGAAGGAGTAACAGGTCTGGGCATTCTCCGGTAAGACAAGACCGTATGGAAATACTTAGATTAATAGAAATGGGTCAATAATTAAGAGAAAGCTAGCTGGGGCTGGAGAGATGGCTCAGGGGATAAGAGCACTGACTGTTCTTCCAGAGGTTCTGAGTTCAATTCCCAGCAACCACATGGTGGCTCACAACCATCTGTAATGTGATCTGGTGCCCTCTTCTGGCATGCACTATATACATGATAAATAAGTAAATAAATCTTTTTAAAAAAGAGAGAAAGAAAGCTAGCTAATAAGAAGTCTAAGCTATCAGCCAAGCAGTTTATAATTACTATAGGCCTCTGTGTGTTTATTTGAGACTGAAGAACAGTGGGACCAGGTGGAACAGAAAACTTCACAGAATGAACAGGTTGTGTTCATATATTTAGGAATACACACACACACACACACACACACACACACACACACAAACACACATCAACAACTAAAGAAAAAGAAGCCATAATGAATTTGAGAGAATGGGTACATGGGAGGGCTGAGCAAAGAGAAAGGAAAAATCATACAATTATATTTTAATTTCAAAAACAATTAAAATAAAGAAATAAAAATTAAATATGTCATTTTCTCAAAGGTGCCATTTGTCTAAAAAAAAAGATCAATATAATTGGCCTATAGATCCAAGACCATTCCAGTCAAGATCTCATCAGACTTTCTTTTGCAAAAATGGTCATTCTGATTCTAAAGTGACTCTAAAGAGACACGAAGGAACTAGAACAGCCCGAACAACTTGATTTGTGGTTTTACACGAAGCCACAAACATCTAGTGGATCTACACAGATGGATGTATTGCACCACATAAAAGTCCAAAAATAGACTCATGCAGGAAGAGGATCAGTTTTTGACAAAATGCTGGGGTAGTTCCTGGGGAAGAGCCATCTTTCCAAGTGTTGGTGTTGGGAAGTAGCATCTGCATGCAAACCTCATACCACTGATGAAAAAAAAAAAACAAAAACCTTGTAACTAGTGAGAGACCTAAAGCTTTATAACTTCCAAAAGAATAAAGATAATCTGTAACCTTGGATTTAACATAGACTTTCTAAATTGGACACAGACAGTACAAAATACAAAAGAAAAGTATCAGGAAGGTCAACTTGACTATGTTCAATAGTTTCATCCTTCCCCCAGTGAAACAGTAAACAGTGGAAAACACACAGACTGGGAGGCAATACATAGGAAACATAAGCCCAAAAAAAAGGACTTATATCTGGAATTACATAAACAGATTTTGAAAAAAAAAATATGAGGATAAGTGACTCTGTTTTTTCCAAAAGACCAGGATAGACATAATTTTGAAAAAAAAAATATGAGGATAAGTGACTCTGTTTTTTCCAAAAGACTAGGATGGAAATACCCCTGGCCCCTGGCCCTCCCTGGCTCTCCTCTCCTCTGCACCACTGGAGAAGCTAGCCACAGCTATGTCTCCTAAACATGGTTTTCCCACCCAGGGCCACCTGTGTGCACCATACCATTGAGGTAATAGGTCCTCCTGCTCCTATCCCCAGTGGGCAGGTTACTCTCCGAGAAGCACACCTTCTTAGGCCGCACGATATCCCTGGGTTCAAGTAGGGTTTTGTCAGCCAGGGAATCCTGCAAGGGACTCAGGAGTGGGGACATCTTTCTGTCGGCAATTCTTGCATGTAGTTCTGCAGGAGTGAGGAAGGCCTTGAAAGGCACCTGAGAGGTGGATGCACAGCCTGGGGAGGCCTCGTCCTCACTGGAGAGTGGGGCATGTGAGCATAGCAGGTCCTCCAAGGAAGATATCTGTAGCTGAGAGGGTGTGTCAGGGACACTGGCAAACCGTCCAAAATCTGGAGCTGGGGTGGAGAAGAAAACAACAATAAGTCAGCCAGGAGGTACCAGGACATGATTGGAAGCACAAAGAGACGTGGATGAAACTATTGCTCCCAACCCAGAGTTCTGGGCCCTTCTTAGCCACTTCACCTGGTGATGGAGGAAGCCCTGTCCCGTGAGCTCAACAGTAAGCACATGGGCCATGATGTGCTCACAACCACACTCACTGCAGTGATGCCTATGTGCTTTTTAAATTCATCGCAAATGGTATCATCCTATAAGTTTTCCTGCAACATAAATTTTTGATATTTATCCATATCCTGCCACTTGTGAACCCCCAGCTTCCTCTGTTTCCTGGCCCATAGGCACTCCCAATGACTTTTCACCCCTTTTCATCACAAAAGCAAAGTTGTGGTTAGGGGTGGTGGCTCAGTGGTAGGGCACTTGCTTAGCTGGGCTAGGCTCTGAGTTCAAAGGTCAGTGCTTGAAAAGAACAAAGAGGGAAGCTGTGGTCAGCCTCTCTGGATGTACCTCCTCACTCTCAGTGAGCCCTTCTGTGGCCACGCCTGAGCTCAGCCGTGTGCATTTTGACTGCCCTTGTTTTCCACAGCCCTCATCAATCTGTTCTTTGACTTGGGGAGTCTTATCTCCCAGAGCTTGTTCTCTTAACAAGAAAGCAAGTGTACTTGAGAAAACATCCCATCTCAAAATGTACACATGCAGGAACCAACTGCTTTGTCCCAAAAGTATTTTCTAAGAAAAAAGAAGTTAAAAGAACAACAACAACTTGCCAACAAGATGCTAGACCTCCTGTCTGCCCTTCTAAGACCCATTGGTCCTTGAGGGCCTCCTGGCCTCTACCCAGACACTCCTCACAGCACTGAAAACACTTATGGACAGCAGTACACCACTAGAAATGTTGACAGGAGAGCTTCTCTTGCAAACGGATGTAAAATGGCTCCGTAAGAGGCAGAAAACCAAAGTAGGCCAATAAACAAAACTCTAAAAACCCTGGGAAAAGAGTCTCTTCAACACATAGTTCTGGGAAACTGTGTTTCACGTGTGAAAGTACAGAACTAGACCCCTCTCTCATAGCCTTGGGACCTGGTCAGATAGCATGAGGTTTGTCAGTCTCTGATAGTGGTTAGCAACAATGAGACACAGAGGCTGGTACCTCTATAGCTACACCACAACGCTGTGGGATGTCACACGTGACTGAGTTGCATGAGCACAGTCCCTCCCACAAATGTTCTGTTTTCTCTGCTACTTGTCAACACCATTGTCTCCATCCCCAACTCCAGCTTCCCGTGAGGATCCCAGTATATCCAAGCTATATCCAAGCTCCCTCTTCAAGGTTCCGTTTGGACTCAGTGATGGAGATTTGGTGAAGGACTCCTCTACTCCTCTAGGCCGAGCCCCCAGTAGCCTATGGGGCTACAAGATGCCTTTTCAATTCTGGCTGGGCTCAGAGGACAGAGGCAGACATCCGAAGTGAACTCTAAAAAGTCACTGCACCAAACACAGGCCCTCAAAGTCTCACTTTGGACAGGTTCATAGCTGACCTCCAAGGCGCCCCACAGGAGTGGGCTACAGCCTGGCCGACTCCACAGTTTACCATCAGGCTGTCTCCTTAAGGACTTGATGAGTTGGAACGTATCCCCAGCCTCCCACTCAGGCCAGGCGGTATGAGTGGCAATCACGTCCTTAAAGAAGCTGGACCTACTGGGTCACTGGAGTACTCCCGCATCGGCGATGGGGGGTGGGGGCTGTGTCCACTGTCCACCATTCCAACCAAAACCCCAGGTCACATCTGCCAAACACACTGCCAATCTCACTACTGTGTATGCAAAGAGAATTCTTTTTAACCAAATCTTTTACAAAAAAAAAAAAAAAAAAAAAACATGTTTTGCAAAAATTGATCACCAGTCCCACACAGGCTCTCCCCCAACCCCACCCTACCTGCCACCTGTGAAAAAAAGTCATAGGTTTGAGCTGATACTATTTGGTTAACATATGGTAGCACCATGATTTTTGCTACCTACTCACACCTAAGAATAATAGCAGCGTAGCAGGGTCTCCCTCTAGGGTGGGAGCTGCACCTGCTTCCTGGAGCCAGGTCCAATCAAGTGACTCTTTCAACTCACGGCTAACGAATGGATGAGGCACAGCTGCCCCACTGCAAGACGAGAGTATGGGACCAGCTGCTACAAAGCAGAGAAAGACACACATAGGATAAAGCAGCCCAGCCAAGCCCAACAAAATGGAAAGGACTTCAGCAGGCCTGCAGCCATGTGATCACACCCTGCCTGTTTTAACCCAGGTGACAGTGCCTGGAGCTGGCATGACCACCAGCTGACACACCCACTCCACCCCTGAGGTGTGGACTGAGTCCCTAAGAGAAGGGCTTTCCCTAGGACATTCTACACAGCTGGCTACTTGGTCTGAGAGCAGACCTCTCTAAACCCAACAAGGGAAGCTGCCCTGTCCTGGCAAGGCCTGCACCTCACCTCCACTCCCAGGGGAGCAGGCCTCAGGGTAGGAAGGGGCCTTGGGAAAGAGCAGGTCCCGGCCCCCTCGGCCACAGTTCTCCTGGCAACTCTCACTAAGCAGCCGCTTCAGCATCTGGTTCTCCTTCAGGAGGCGCACCTGCTTCTTCAGGTCTGCGTTCTCACTCATGAGCCTGTTCATCAGCTCACTGCCCTCTGCCATGGTGTCCTAAAGTGTTCACAAGAGGGCCTGTGGCCCCATAGAGATGGAAATACAGAGCCCACAGACCCCACAGAAACAGCCGAAGACCACGGAGTTCCACATTGCCTGACCTTCCACAGCCTTGTGATGTCGCTACCCTTAAAGAGACAGCACCACAAGTCCAGCACCCTTCTCCCTCTGGTCCTCAGCCACCTCCCAGACAACTCTAGACCAACCTGGGCTTGGTGATACACACAGAAGCCAGATGCATAAGGAGTATATAGGCAAGCACCTCAAACCACAGAGGGATTGGGGCTTATTAAAGAGTCTATGGAAGGTGAAGGCAGGAAAATGGCCTCCCAGACAGGGAGAAAGCATGTACAAAGACCTCCAAGACCAGACCTTAACAGCACCTTCCAGAAGCAGCCAGAACACGGCATTGGAGGGTCATGCTGTCCCACATTATGTGAAGTCCATAGGCCACAGTGGAGACATGGCTGTCATCTCAGTGACTTCTTCCTATGACATGTGCCAATAAAGGTACCCTGTCATTTCTCAACTCCAAGGGACATGGGCCAGTGGGGCTCCCAGAACATACAGGGCATATGACACGCTGTTTCTGAGTCTCATCTTTGGAACCTATACTTAAGAAAGAAAAGGGCCATGACAGCAGATGGCCAGCCTTGGGCAGGACCCCACGATTGCCCCACAGTCCCAGGGGAGCCCTGGCAGGGCTGGAAGCAAAGACCACTTACTGATTACATCATCATATTTCCCTCATGAAAAGGCTTAAGGCATCCCATTGGTGTCCATCACACACACTCCATACCAAATACTGAACAAAGTAGGAATGAGGTCCTATGGACCAGTGATCACGAGACTGCCAGTGCTACAGTGGTCAGTTAACGTAGCTGTCTATAAACTCACCCAGAACCCTGCTTTTCCTACTGCATGAAGGGAATAAGCTCTATTTCTGAATCAGAAGATCTTCCTGTACGCCTGGCCACTCAGAGACACCAAAGGTTGCTGCCTGGTTCTCCTTGATGAGAAAGAATGAAACCAGAACACCCCAATCCAACATCTACTGAAGTCCTTCTCTGACAATGTATGGGGCTCCCCATCCATATCCGGGGCACTCTGTGCAGACACTGGCATGGTCCCCGGGTAAAACTGTTCAGTCCAGGCAGTCATGTTAGTATGTATTTCAAGTACAGAAAGCTCAGATTTTGTGAAGAAAAGAGATCCTAAATGCTGGATCAGTTGACCTCTCCTCTCAGACAAGGGCAATGAAGTCACCAAAGGCTTTCAGTGGCCTTCAAAGACAGAGAGCAGAGCACATAGAGACATGGGTCAGAAACCAGGCATTCCCAATTCCCAGTTTCTGGGGTCACAGTGCTGAAGTGGTTTTTCCTCCACTAGCTGATGCTGCTACTGCTTCTCCTCCTCCTCCTCCTCTTCTTCCTCCATTCCTCCTCCTCCTCTTCTTCATTTGTTTGGATGGGGGGGGTTGGTTTTTTTTTCCGTGTTGTTTATTTGGGGTTTTTGTTTCTTTCTTTCTTTTTGTTTTTGAGACAGGGTTTCACTGTGTAGCCCTGGCTGTCCTGGGCTTCAAATTCAGGTGTCGGGATTGTTTCTAGTTATTTTACCTTCTGAGCCATATCCCCAGTGCCCGTATCTCTTCTTAAAAAGAGAGTATCTTTGACAGAATTGAGACAAATTTATAAACCTGGTTAGCAGTACCTTAAGAAAAAGCAGAAACATTATGTGTGCACAAACAGAAATTAGAGTCAATTGAGTAGACACTAGTTTTCTTGGACACTGGCACTGCAGGTACATTTGATCAGGTGATCAGGTAGACCCAAATCAAATAACTGAGAGGGGAAGAGAAGAGACTTCTATTGACCACGTCACCAAAGTTCACCTCCCCAAAGTCATAATCTAGAAATGGCCCTACACAAGTCATGTCAGTCAGCTTCATCTCAGGTTGCCTAGAAGTGTGCTGCTTAACTCTCAAGCTTTTCCGTGTTTCCCAAATCCCTTTATTTCTCATTTAATTCCATTGTGGTCAAAGAGTATACCTTTCCATTTCTGAAGATTCTTCTCATTGTCTTGGTGAATGAGGCAGAAGCACTTGGATGTGTTAGTCTCCGTTGTTTCAGGTGACAGATTCACACATGCCAATGAGCTTGCATTGGCTGATATTAGAATCTGTTCTTAATGGGCTGTCCTAGTTACATTTCTGTTGATGTGATTAAAAAAACAAAACAAAACAACAACAAAAAAAACCACTTTGACCAAAAGCAACTTATGAGAGGAAAGGTGTCACTTGGCTTACAGTCAGTCCCAAGTCACCGTCCATGAGGGAAGTCAAGGCAATGGCTTGAAGGCAGGCTTGTTAGTTACTCCCACAGCATTACATCTGACTAAGGAACTCACTTTACAAGCAGAGTGTGGGGGGAAACCATGGAAGGTGCTGCTTGCTGGCTGGCAGGTTTATGTTCTCTCTCATTAGGCAAATTTGAAAAAATAAAAATGACTCGACACTTTTAAAGGTAACCTCACCAAAGACGGAAGAGCCGGCGGCCAGCAGCTTCATCGAATCTTCTCTGCTCCTTTATTTTTGCCAGGCCAGTTAATAGTTAGGAGAATGTGCCTTTTTTGTACCTTTGCATTAGGTGTTATCATTTTAAAGATATATGGACACACAGAGACAAAAAAAAAAAAAAAAAAAGGAAGACTTGAATTCAAGCAGTGCCACACTTTGTCATCACTACAGGTATTCAAGTGTAAAGAAAACCAACTTTAAAACTGTGAAATTCCTGACTCATAAACACAGTTATTTCTACTTTAGTACAGGAGAGAACTCACTGTTATCAGTGCTCTCTTACTCAGCACTTGTGTAAGTTTTGAAGGAATGATAAGTTGTCTTCCAAGACTGCACTTGTCTGGTCACTACCTCAGGGCTATTTTTCTTCTGTGCTGGGACAGGTGGCTGGCCCTCCCTGTTTCCACCAACCAAATCCTCCTAGATTGGAAGCTAGGGCGAAGCAGTTATTTCTTTCAGCTATTTTTTAGTACTTAAATTTTACTGCTTGTTTTGATGATAGATGTCAGTGATATTTCATAGTTTCAAACATCCTTGCCGCTACAAAAAGTGTAGATTCTGGTGAAAATGTGTATCATAAGATAAATGTGATTTTGTTCTTTTTCCATTTTTTTTTTTAAAAAGCTGTGGTATTACACATCCTAAAACATTCTGCTCTGTGGAAGTCCAGACTGAAACGAAGCATCATCTGTGTACCTAGCATGTTCATCAGCCTGGATCTCTCACTACTTGATACTTTTTGTATTAGTTAAGACAGGAAGTTAGTAGTTCAGTGAAAAGGGAGAAAATCTGTTGTTGGGTATGTCTGAACTGAGTGCCATACTCATCTGGGTCAGATTTAGGAAATATAGCCTCTGTGATAAAATTAAAAAGTCAGTTAAATATCACATAGTAGATAGCCATTAAATTATAAAAAATAATTTAAAAAGGCCTTTTTTACAGATTAAAAAATATTTTCATGGTGATCCATATGATCAAGAGCTAATGATTTCCTTCTCTAGTGCCACGGACTTGGCAGTAACTTGTTTACTAGGTCAGGATGACTGTGGTTTCCTTCCTAGGACTTGTTAGAGGCCAGAAGCCTGTCTTGAAACTGTACATCTGATGCAGTTGTTAGCTTTTACTTTTATTTCTTTTGAGAACCTTCAAATGAAAACATCTGACACTTTAAAAAACAGTAAATAAAATCATCTGAAATTTGGGCTGGAGAGATGGCTCAGAGGTTAAGAGCACCGGCTGCTCTTCCAGAGGTCCTGAGTTCAATTCCTAGCAACCACATGGTGGCTCACAACCATCCGTTATGAGATCTGGTGCCCACTTCTGGTGTGCAGATACACATGGAAGCAGAATGTTGTATACATAATAAATAAAATATTTAAAAAAAAAACATCTGAAATTTAAAAAATAGTAATTTATATTACAGATACATAGGAGCAGTATCTGTATAAAATATAGAGACAAAATAAAGTTGAGATAAAAATAAATCAAGTTGAAAGCTGGATGTAGTGGCACAAGCTTTTAATCCCAGCACTTGGGAGGCAGAAGCAGGTGGATTTCTGTGAGTTTGAAGTTATCCTGGTCTACAGAGTGAGTTCCATGATAGCCAGAGCTACATAGTGACACCTTGTCACAAAATAAATAAATAAAATTTAAAAATAAAATAATAAATCAAGTTGACTATGTATTATCATATAGTTGTTGTATTTGCTAAAACAAATCAGAGAATAAGAAAACAGCAAACAGCAAAAATTCACTTGAAAAAGGAAAGAAAAAAAAAATACTCTGTTCGAGAGACCTTTCCATCAAGTCCTTCAGCACAAGCCTATAATCCCAGTACTCAGGAGGCGGACTCGGGGACACTGGCTCTCAAGCTTGAGGCCATTCTAGACTACATGGTGAATATCACATCACTGGGAGTACCACATAGTAAAACTGTTTCATAAGGGGAAAAATGTCAACATTTGCTACTAAAGGATCCCTCAAACAAGAATGTGGAGTTTCACATCACAGGGAACACTGAGAATTGACTATGACTCCACAGGAGAAGCTTTCAGCACCTTCAGGGTTTGTTCCTTACTTTCATTTCAAGATTCTTTCAGGACTTCTTCTGGTGAGTGTCCCCCACCAACTCCCCACTGAGCCTGGGGAACCCTGTAAACTGGGGTGGGCAATCCTGTACCCACACGCCTCACTGACAGCTCTACAACAGGACTGGTCTGCAGGATAAGACAGAGTAAGCGTGACAACTACAGCCTACAGCACGTTTTATCAGATGTGTTTATTAGGGGAAAGAGTCCTGTAAGCATCCGTGTATTTGGTACAGTGAGCTGGTCATGACTAGGAATTCCAAGGGACGGCTGGTGCTGCTGGGGGCAAGTCTAGTAATTCACCATCTATCTGCCCTGCTGCTGGCAGAGGTTGGGAAGGCTGTGCAGTGAACAGCACAGGTTATGATCTAAGGGAGGAGAGCCCTAGGAGTCACAGCAGCACAAGGTGACAGTGGTGGGAGCTGAGCAGGAAGCAGATGGCACCAAGCCTCAGGGAATCTGCACCAGGCAGAAGGCAGGCCTAGAGAGTCCCGGCCAGGGAAAAGGCATCAGACACAGCTCTCTGCTTGTCTGAGGGAAGACCATGGGCCAGGGAGAGGTTGGAGTTACCACCAGTCCAGAATGTAAAAGAGGTGGGGAGCGTTAGACTGAGAAGGCACCAGGCTGGACCCTGCTCCCCATGGGCAGGGAGAAAAGCAGTAACTTCAAAAAGTTAGGACTCTGTCCACCCTGAATTCTGCCTGTGTGTTGGTCAGACACACAGTTAGGAAGCAGGAATTCAGAGCTCACCCCCAAGAAGCATCACTTCAGAAATCTGGCCCTCACTAGAACAAAAAGCACAGTAGGCATAAGGGTTCATAATGGCCTTTGGGTGTCACAGGCATTTTCCTGGGTCCCAGGAGTGCCACAGCTGCCTGGCTGGCTCAGTGAGTCTAAGTGGTGAGCTGGATGTGACCAGCTGTCCTTGCTACAGGGCTGTCCCACAGTACAAACCACCATAAACACTATCTACACTACTGCTGTTATTCTAGATGTGGCTTCCCAAGTGTGCCTCTCTATCTCAACAAAAGGAGCGGAGATCAGGATGCTGATGTCCTTGAAATACATGCAATGTACATGGGCTTACAATCTAGGGGCAGAATCAAATGCTGTATCTGACTCCCTGCACATAGCCTCAGGACACCTAGCAGAAAATGCCTGGGAGTTTTATTGTTGTTTTTATTTTTGAGATTTTTTTTTATGTGGATGGGTGTTATAACTACATGTATGTCTATGTATCACGTGTGCAGTTCCCACAGAGGTCAGAAGAAGGCTTTAGGTCCCCTGAGAACTGGAGTTTTAGAAGGTTGTTAGCCACCAAGTGGGTGCTGGAAATAAACCCAGGTCCTCTGAAAGAGCAGTCAATGTTCTTTATTGCTGGGCCATTGTTCCAGGCCCAAAATGTGTTTATTAAGGGAGTCAGTGATCATTTAAACCACTTTGAGTGACACTTTTAGTATAAAGCGAGTTTGTCTTTCCTTTCTGGAAAACTGGTATTTCATACAGTGATCTGGTCATGACTGGGAGTTCCTAGGGACAATAGCCACTGCTCAGTACACTGTGAACAAGGGTCTTGCCTCACTCCCCATTGAGCCTTTCTCTGAGCATACCAGCACCATAGGGTTGCCATAACTCCCCCAGCCCAGCAAACAGGAGTCCAGACAGAGGCCCATTACACAGTAGACAAAGGAGGCGGTGAAGAAGCCAGCTGCTCCCCTCCAGAGGAAGTCACTGGTCATGAAAACTCTACAGCCTCACTCCCTCAAGAAGGATGCACCCAGGAGCTGCAGAGTGCACTGTGCCTCCTTGAATTTCAAGGTTTATTTGATCCCTTGCTGAAGCTAGTCTCGGAACTAAACCTACACTGCCAAGTGCCTAAAGACACCAACCCTGACCCTATCCCCAGCCTCATGTTTACAGAAATAGAGAACAAGGCCTAGGGCAGGGCTAGCCAAGAACCCCCAGCCTTGCCTGGATCTGTATGATCCAGGCTGACGCATGTGCATTCAAAGGTGGCCAGCGAGGGAATTGTCAGGGTACAGGTTGGAGAAGCGACCCAGGGCCCAGATGGGGAAGATGTTCCTGTAACTTGTGTAGCTGATGGCGCAGGACTTGTTGAAGACCCCAGAGATGTTCTCCTGGAAGAACACAGAAAAATGAGCAGTAAGGAGCTGGTCCCCGGATGGTGGTTGTGACTACTGAATTTCCCAGCCCAGAGCAAGTCTGACTGTGGAGAGCTGATGAACCACAGACAGGGAAGCACAGGTCCCAGCTCAGAGACTAGAGCTACAAGAAAACATTCATCCCTGGACCCATAGTCTCTAATGATCCCTGTAACCACAGAGACAGATGGAAACCCATCAGCACTTCTTGTCAGTGAAGGGCCACACAGAACACGTACAATAGTAAAGTCAAGGTTCTGCAGGAAACATCAACTATCCAGACCTATCCCCTGCCAGGTCCTTTACAAATAGCAATGTGCTCAACACTTCAAGACCCACAACACATCTCAGATCTACAGCCAGGACAAGCCTCTGGCTGACAGTGTCCATATCCCAGATCTCCAAGGCACCAAAGCAGAACATGGGCACAGGAAAGTGTGTGGAAACTAGTGGACAAGTTGGAAATCAGTGCTGGAACTACTATATCATGGCCCCTCACAAACCTGAGGCCAGTCTCCATTGGAGAGCTGCTTCTCCAACAGACATCTGATTCCTCTCTCCTGAGCAGTGATGTCGGGATGCCTGAGGGGGGCAAGAAGACAGGCTTGAACAAACCTAGCATGTGGCATCAACATGCATTCCCAGGAGGACAAAAAACTCCCCAAATACTATGGTGATGACAGGTAAACCTTAACAACCAGAATAGCATCTTCCCAGGAGCCCTGAGCAGCAGAGCATGTGCAAGCATGGGGATGGTAGAGCATATACTTCCTATATACTGGACTCTATCCCTAGAAGACATGGTTGACATGGTGACATGGTGGCATGGCTGGCACAAGGTGCTGATAAGATTTCCAAGGAGAAATCTTGGTGCTCTCCTCACTGGAAACCACAGCAGCTATGTGCTCTGATGTACTTGCTGGCAAGAGAGAGACACCAAAAGGACTGAGGGTTTGGCAGAAGCAAGGTCAGCAGAAGGGGACTGACTAGCAACAGACTGATGACTATCCTGCTCTTGGGGTCCCTGTATACACTGACTAAGGGGATTTTAGGAAGATCTCCAAATGGCTCCAAGTGTACTGTGGCAACACAGGCTAAGACAGCACATACAACTGTGTGTATGTGTGTTGTATGAATGTACATGTATACTTATACCTGTGTGAACACATACATGCATATACCTAAACACATATATGTAACTACAAGTGCATATACATAAATGTGTGTACCTATGTACACTAGTGCAATATATGTGGTTCAATATGAGCTGTGGGCACAAGAAGACCGAAAGCAGCTATAGTCTTGTGCTCTTAATGCTGAGGCAGTATTCTCCACACTGGTAAGCAACTTCCCCTCCACAGCCCAGCTTCTCTTGGCTATGCCAACAAGTACTGACAACCAATGGATAGACAGACCATTTCTAAGAGTTAAGTCTCTCTATAAGGTACCACTCAGCCAGGTTGGCTGCCACTTAGCCTAGGAACAGGGTGTGTGGTTTCTGAAGCTGCCTCTATCCACAGTTTCTGAGGAATAGTGGCTCAGTCCTGTGGCTCCTTTCACCTCTTCCCACATCTGTACACATCCTAGGCCACCCCCTCCAAGTTGAGCATCCCTAGTATTCGTGCCCAGGGATGGGTCCTGTCTCCCTTACCTGACAGCCATCAAGCCCATCAGGGCCCAGCACGTATTATGGACCTGGGACTTGGCACTCTGCACATAACGCCGCTGCTCACAAGACTCAAAGTCCTCCCCCCAGCCTCCATCTGCCATCTGCTGGGACAGGAGGAAGTTGCAGGCCTGGGACACTTCTGCACGAGCAGACCTGTAGAGAGAAAGAGACCTGAGACACCACGTCTTGGGAGGATCTAAACCCTCTATATCCTATTCCAACATGCTGCCGTAGGGTCATGGGAGGGGCCTGCAGAGGTGAGTGGATACGGATGCACATGTCTCGCAGAGGGCTCAGAAAAAAACACTCTGCAGCTACAGACATCTGCAGGCTGACTATCTGGGCACATGGAAACAGACCCAGGCTCCCTGGGCTGTACCTGGCTTAGCACAACTCCCAAACCCACTAGATCTAGAAGCACTGGCTAGGCAGCCAGAGACAGCGCTTGAACCAAGGCCTCTTCCTGAGGTCCTAGACACTCTTCCTTTCTCACTCAGGATGAGAGACTGAGATTTATAAGACTCTGAGGTAATGCCTAGCCAAGGCTTGTGAGTCAAGAAAATATGTCCTTTTTTCTGAAAACAGTGATCTTACCTCCCTGTTTTAAAATATTAAACAAATAAAATCAAATATCAAAGGAAAAACCACCATGCAGAACATTACTGACCTGGTTTTACTGTCAACTTAACACACAGACACCTGGGAAGACATGTCATCAGCTAAAGAATGTGGGAAGGGCCTCCCACTGTGTAAGAAAGCTAGCTGAGTGGGGTTTTCCTCATGGTTTCTGCTTCAGTTCCTGCCCTAACATCCCTCAATGCTAGATTATGACCCAGAAGTATACGCCTAAAGTGAACCCTTTCTTCCCCAATGTGTTTCATCACAGCAGCAGAAAAACAGGCCAGAACAATTACCATGGCGATGCCCTCGTCTGAGTGACATCAGCCTGAAAGCTACACTTACCCATCTTGGTAGGTATGTCCCATGCAAGCAAAAGCTTCCAGGCCAAACCAGGTGCCATAGGTGAAACAAACCCCCCAGGAGCTAGCGGAAGACAAAAGAGAAGGTCAGATGTGGTCTTTGCTCCAAGTGAGAACATAGGTACTCTACCCAGGTATCGGGACAACCTCAAGTAGAGGGGGCAGAACTGGGATGGAGCATGGTGGAGCATCCCTCCATTTCCAGCATGGGCTACGACAGGGGGATTGCTAATTTAAAGACAGCCTGAGATGCACATCAAGATCCTGTCTCACAAAACCTAAGAGAAAGTAAGAGACAGTGAGGAGGACAGAGGGTTGAGCAGGGACAGCAAAGGGGGGGAGGGACTCGGGCAATTGCAAAAACAGCATCCACACACATCCTAGACAGTTCAAGTGTGAATGCTGCTTAAAGTGGCCCTGTTCACCCAGCTCAGTCACTGCTTCTTCTACTCAGGACACAAAAGAACTGCTGATGCACACAAGAGGGGGGAATCACACTGAGTATGTAACCCAACTGCTCCCTCAAACACAAGCTCTTAGCATAAGGGAAGGGCAGGCATCAGCCAGGGAATATGACCAACCAGGAAGTCCTTCTTCCTGAGCCCCCTAGGAAGAAGGCCAAGGGCAGACTCCCAACCCCACATACATGTCTTCACCTCCCACCAAGCCCTCTGCAGGTGAGCCCAGGTGCCTACTCACCCCTCCCAGGAGCCATCAGCTCTTTGCTGCTTTCGGCAGAACTCCAGGCCTTGCTTGAGGGTCTCCCTGCAATACAGGCAGTTAGCCCAATGAACACTGCAGGCAAAACCAAGGCCTTCCCCAACCCTGCCCACACAATGGTCTCAGAAAGTGAGGATGGCTTCCCCTTCATATAGCTCAAATGTTCAAAGAGGGGGAAAAAATGTAGCTATAGGTCACAGAAGGGGCAAACAGACTGTCAAAGTTCAGAGAAACACAAAGGAAAACAGACTTTGCAGATGAGGACCACATTGGAAGTAGCTATGAAAACTATCAAAGCCACTGACAATAACACTAGTGTCATGGGCCTGAATAAATCATATAAAATGAACTAGATTAAAACCAACAACAACGAAGAGTTTTGGGCTGCCTTCTTGAGATGGAGACTGGTCCCCCTGAATCATTTATAGCAGCTTTTATTTGTTAGAAATTTCTTTAGGCCTTTTGTTTTCATGAGTTGGAAGCTTAGCTGGTGGGGGTCTTACCCTGAGGGTATTCCTCCATTTACTCCATTTCAGGCCAGGCCTCTCCTTAAATTCCTATCTTTTCAGCACAGGCCTTGGCTACCACTTTATATTTCCTAGTGCTCTTTTTCCTCTTCAAGCAGTACATTTCTATTTCTGCCACATTTACTCTTTTCCGTTGTACACCTACATAAGAGCAACTACTAACTACACACATTTAGCCTCAGGCAACATCTTAGGAAAGGGCAGAAATTAGCTACTATTTGCCAAAATATCACAAGAACGGTTTCTAGTTCAGTTGATAATAGTGCCCCCATCTGGAACCACTTGGGCTGGGCCTCTGCTGTCTGCATGGTTCACAGCACTGTCTTCCAGGCTCCTGCTAGGACGGTCCATTGAGCTCTGCTTACAGAGCCACTTTTCAACCACTTTTCTAGACCAAAGTTAGAAATTGCTCCACATTCCTCCAAATCCACATGGTTAAGTCTGTCACAACAACCTATGTTGGTGCCAGCTTCTATACTAGTTACTTTCTTTGCTGTAATGAAACACCACGACCAAGGCAACTTATAAAATAAAGGGTTTAATTGGACTTACAGTCACAGAGGGTGAGATGGAGGCACTGGACTGATGTTTCACGGGGACAAATGACATCAGTCTGAATGCTATTACCTGAGCCATCTCCCCCAGCTTAATCTTTATGTGTACTGTTTTATCATTTATGGTTTTTGTGAACTTTCTCGATGCTAGGAGTGGGCTGCCTCCCTGGGAGCTGTTATCCAGGCCCCTCAACCTTACGGCTATTGCCACTGCTGTTGGCTGCTCAACAAAGCTAGACAGTCCTTAGTGCTAAAGACACCATATGCTTTGGCAAAATTAGGCTAAGACAAAAGTAGAAAATCCTTCCCTGCTAGCTGGCTTTCATAATACTGGAAGACAGCATGCAGGCTGTTGGGACAGAACCATCACCAAGACTCCAGCTAGACCCTGCTTGTTACAGTGTAACATCAGGTAAGACACATCCACTAATACAATAGTAACCTGATACAACTTTACTGCTTTCTGCTGTGATGTAGCTCACATGAGATATTGTAAGCCAAGGCAAAGCTCATGGCTAGGAAAATCATAGGCCCCAATGAGGAGTTCATTGCTATTGTTTTATTAAACGGGTATCATATGCTTATCAAATTGCCTTCTAAATTTATGTTTACACCCACACATTACTGTTGCCCTCAGTCTTCATCAGTCATGAAAGGAGACATTAATAATGAGAGGTATACCTCACAGACTCATAATTAGTCACGCTCCTGAAACAAACTAACTGTTGCTATATCACAATGACCCAATATTTAACCATAGATGGAGAGAAATGGACAGCTATGCCAACCTCTCCAAGACTCAGGAACATCACCAACAAGGTGGACCAAACAAATGCAAGAACCAGAGGAAGGGATGGACTGACTGCTGTGTAGTTACTGACACCAAAGAGAAACACTCCCTGCACTGCCGTGTAACAACGAGAGACCATCGACTGTCCTCAGTGTGGGACTCCATCAAGGCAGGTTCAAAGTGAGCAATAGTAACCCATGGCTGAGGAAGGGCAGTCCCTTCACAGGGGAATGATAGAGGGGTGTAAATGGGTGATGGCAGGGTCTCCACATGACAATCTGGAGAGCTTCTGACCATTCACTGGCTCTCATCACGAAAGAGTGCTTAGCAGCTATTTACCTGGACACTGCTGGCAGAGTTAGGTATGTATGCTTAATTTAAAAGCTGTTCAAGATAGGAAAAATATCTTGTTACATTCTTGTGTTACAGTTCTACTGTCTTCCCCAGACCAATACACACACACATATACACTCACACACACACATACACACACATACACACACACACACACATACACACACACACATACACTCACACACACACACACAGACTTACATACACTTGATGGATTTGTAAGCCTACTGTCCGAGATTGCTGTGGCTGGGCTATGACCCTGCTCAGTCCTGTCCTCGCCTTCCTTACCTGATCTCTGCTGCCCTATGGTCTGGGTAGTGTTCATGGAAATGCTTCAGAGCCTGCATCACCGCTGAGGTACACTCCACATATGTGTAGTCAATCATGATGTCTCCTAGAAAGGGAAAGGAGGCGGCACCTGAGCTCCACTATGGCACGGGGCCCACCGTTCAGGCCAGAATGTGGTGAGCAAGGGTGCTGAAGCATGCAGGACTTACTCTTAGATGCTATCCCAGGGTCAACCTGGGCAACAGGTTACAGTGAGTACAGTGGGCAGAGTGAGGCCTGCACACCTGTGCTACAACACACACACAAAACAGCGGGCTATCACTACTGCCACCGCCACCCAAAACAACATGTGTGACAGGTCAAAGAATAAATAGGATAATTAGAAGCCATGAAGGAAGGGGGTAGCAGGTGTCAGAGTCAGCGAGCAAAGAACCTGACCTGACAGACTAGAACCTCAGTGACAATGCACAGCTGTGGCCCAGCAGCCCTTGACATAGATCCTTACAAGTGCTGGGAGTGACTGAGCATGCGGCACATGGCAGCCTCCACACACAAGGCTCTGTGGCTAAGCAGGAGAGTGTAAACCTAGCACAAGGTCTCCACAGCCATTCATCAAGAATACAGGAACTCCACACCCTGATGCTCAGAGAGGGCACTGCATGGACCTGCCAGCATTCCAGACCTGGCCTACACACCACACTGCTAGTCAACCACTCACCGAAGACCTCTGAGGGGTTCAGCAACTCCAGCAAATGCCCCCCACGCTTGGTCTCATAGGTAGCAAACCCTCCATCAGAATTCCTCATGCTCAACAGCTGTAACGAGAGGGAGGGCGGACTGAGAACCAAGCACGCAACTTACAGTCTGACTTTCCCAAAGCACCACAGGACTGGCAAATGATAGGGCAGGAATGAGGGATAAGAAGCCAGTTTTCATGCTGAGCCCTTAGGTGCCAATGCAACTGCATTGGCACAGTATCTGGAGACATAGTCCAGTGTCAGGCCAATGCAGATCTCCATAGTAAAACATACACAAGAAGCAGATGTGCTAAAGGACTTTACACAAAAATGAACAGACACTTCCAACTTGCCTTTGGATACCTTCCAAATGAGACCTGCAGAAACCTCAGCACAGATGTGGAAAGCTCCTTGAGCTCTAGAGCCAAGAAGAGAAGCCTGAGGGACCATACAGCCTCCTTGTGACCTCTGGGGTGGGCTGGCCACTGTCTCTTATAGCACAGGGCCCTATACACACACCCAACCAAAGTGTCTAACCCCGGGTCTGTCCCAGGGCCCACAGACTCAGATTCTGATGCTCCCACACCCTCGCCTTGGTCTGCTGAGATGGAGCCAGAGAAGAGGAAGTAAACCCGAAGTAGGATACTCACTACGTCCACAGCATCACACAGTCGCTCTCGGGGGACATGCTCCCTGATTGAGGGACATTGCTTCTGCAGGAGTAGCACAGACTTCAAACCCTCAGCTGTGCAATCCGCAACGATCCAGCCACAGTCCAGTGTGCTGAAGGGGAAACCACCCTACAGAGACAGAGTATAAGAGTGTTTCTCCCCTGTAGAGCCGTAACAGTCAGGGCAGGGGCCTCTCCACCACACAGCAGTACCTAAATTGGACATAGTTGAATAGACTTGAGCATCAGCAAAGGGACTATCTAGGACTTCATGCCCATCCTGACTGCCTTAGATGTTAACAATACAAAGTGGTCTGGGATCTAACTAAGCAGCAGCTCAGGTGCCCTATGGACCCCACTATGGAAGCAGAAGCTGCGTTAATGTCTCAATCCACAACCTGCAGTTAAAACCAGGCCCTTACAGCGAAGGAGGTTAGTGCTGGCTCTGAGTCCTTTATACCCTCTGCCTTGATTCCAACACTCCAGCTCAGCATCCCTGTGTGCTAAATACCCGAACTACCCTGGAGCATGGCCACAGAGGCATAGGCTGTCTCAGGGGATGACGAAGCCCCCAACGGTGGGCATCTACAGAGCAAAATGCCAGAAAGCCCTCCTCAAGGGGAAGACAGTTGAGCTTTGGCGTGGGTGGGCTGCCCATACATACCTTGTGCATCTGGCGGTAATACTTCTGATAGTCAGGAAAGTTGTCTGGGACCTGGGGAGCAGCAAGGAGCACATGTGGAAAGCAGAAACATGTTGGCACCAGGGACCCTGTGCTTCCTGCCATCTGGGAGCCGGATCTACTGCTAGCCTTGGTCAGTGCAGCACAGCACCCACGAGACCCATCGCCTTCTCACTATTAGGAAATAAGGTCATCTGCCCAGCTTCGTGTGCTCGCTACCCCTGATCTGCATGACTCAGTCCAATGAGAAAGTAAATAGGTCTGCATGTGTAGTTGGGTCCATTCAGATGGGCTAAGGGCCCATCATGCAGTGTGGGGCCCGGATCAGGCCCTGCCGACTCACTCCCTCAACAGCCCTAAACAGACATGGACATCAGCTACATGGAGGATCCTGAGGAAGCTGCATCCCAGTGGGTTCAGAGAACAGTGGGTTAGGGGCACAAGGACTCTAAGCAGGAGAATGCCAGTGGGATCAAGGCTAGAGGCATCCGCTGTGCTTAAAGCAGGGCATGCAAGGCCAGCCTAGAAAAGCAGTACAAGACTGGGGCTGCAGGTGGATACGGATGGCAGGAATGAGAGACAGTGACCCGGCAGGACAGATGACTGTACATGGTCTCAGGGAAGGCAGCCACAGGCTAGGGTGCCTACTGGCCCAGGCACCTTAAAGATGGCTAGGATGTGAACAGGCTGTGGTGCTCAGAGCCACCACTCCTGATGGTGACACAGGCTGGCTTTGGCCCTCCGCACAGTTGTTTCAGCATAAAGAATGGAAATCACTGGCTGGTGATGGGCTGCCGCAGGCCACAGCCAGAGCTACCTTAGGATGACTAGGTGTACCAACATGGAGCAGGGCAGGGCAGGAAAAGGCAGAAACAACCCACGGAAGCCAGCCCGGGGAAGCAGGACAGATGAGGAGGGGCATGGGCCTCACCTGTGAAAGACGCAGGAATTCGTGAGCCTTCTGCAGGCAGGGTAAAAACTCAGGTCTGTGGTGTGCACCTGCCTAGAAGACAGTAGAGCAGCACAGTTAAGCCAGCCCTCCAATGTCCTGGCAGCATCATGCCATCCCACCCTCGCCCTGGAAAATGACACATCTTAAGAGTTGTAGGGTTTCCCTGAGGTTCTCAACTTTAAAGACAGAAAAGACAGTGAGACACTAGAGACTGGAATGGACAGAAGAGACCACTCTGAGTAGTTACCCAAGTCCTACCTGGTCTGTCAGGCCTCATCTTAGGCAGCCCAACTTGGCCTAGGCCCTGGGTTGTCCAAAGACACCCTCAGGATTTCACTGCTCTTGTTCCCACCTACAGAGAAACACTTTCTCTCTAGCTCAAGCATCAGCTAATATTCTAAGAGCCTCAAGCCCACCCCACCCAGGTACCACCCTGCTCACTCATTCCCTAGGCTTATTTCCCAAAGACCTAACACAGTCTAGTGTCCAGGTTCCAGAGGGTTATCAGGAGGGGTTGGGAGTCAGGTAGATGGGAAGCTCAAGGGACAGAAGGCATGGAAAGCAGCATCATTTTTCTCAGGGTGAATGTGTGGCTCGAACACATGAATGATCAGGTGGGGACTGCACAGAGAGAGAGCCACATACCTCCAACAGTGCTTGGATAGCAAATGCAGTATCCCAGACCTGTGATCCATTGGTGCCCTGTTCACAAAGAATGAGCTGTTATAGCAACCCCATCCACTGACTCCTAGAATCCAAGGGTATCAGAGATATACCCAGTTAATACCCTGTACCCTGTAGCAGCTGGCAGAGGTCAGAAACAATCCTAAATCTTGCAGGCAGACAGTGGGTAACAGAGCCCTGCCTGTCTATAAAGGCCCCAGCAGAACAGCACTTTCTCAGGATATATCCAGGGCCATATGATCCCTTGAATGCTCCTCAACACCCCATGACAGCAGGGAACGCCAGTCATAGGAAAATCAGAAACAAAGACCCTCCATTTCCAAGTGTGCCTGAAGTGGCAGGGACCCAGCTGACACATTACTGTGGGCCCCAATAGATTGAGGAAGGAAAGGTCCACCTCAAATTCCACCCAGGAACTCTGATTTTCTGTACAACACTCTTGGGTCTCAGTGTAGGAAATGGATGATCAAATCCATAGTGGGTTTTGTTCAGGAATCTCTAACTATTTGACAAAACTCCCAGCTCAATACTACAGGGTAATCATAGACCCTAAGCTCTCTCATAACTCCTTGGGGGCCAAAGATCCCAGCCAAACACCTGACCAGAAAGAAACATTTCCACTGCCCTTTGGCCAGAGTCCTAGAAGGATCTAGGGAAAAGTTGACCCTGTATCATGTGCTATCCAGGTAAACCACTTCCTCTTTGTTCTGTGCAACCACAGATACATCCTCCTTTACCACTAGGTACCAAAGGAAGGAACAATTTTCAGGGCACATCCCTCTGACCTAGAGGCTCCTCCTGTACTGGTGGCTATAGAGGACAATCTCTAGTATTATTCTATGAGCTGAGAACACACAGCTCTCAGTGTCCTGCCAGAGGGGCCTCCAGATGGTCTCACAGAGAGGCCCATTACCACACAGAGCCACTTTTCCATCGCAATAACGTGATGATGATTTCTAGAGGGTCTGAGACAAGCCTGGATCTCTCAGATGATGAAAGACTACAGATGGACATGTGAGAACATACAGCAACCACAGAGACCAGGAGGTATTCAAAGCCCCACAGATATGAGGACTAAAGGGTGATTCCATCTCTCCTCTTTTACTATAAGAACTGTATTGAGAACGGTTTTTCAACCCTGCCCCACTTTTTTCTTTTCTTTTTTTTAAATTCAGAAACAGGGTCTTGCTGTATAGCACTGTCTGACCCCAGACTCAATCCTTATGCTTTAACCAACTGAGTGATGGTACTACAAACCAGTGCTACCATGCCTGACTATCACTTTTGAATCATAATAAATAAGCAGAGATGGTTACAAAGAGAGCTGGCAGCCTGTGTTCTACAGCCCTTACCTGCATTTTCATGCCATCAAGACCCAGCCTACGGGGATAAGAAAAGATTATGTCAGGGACAATTTGAAAGCTGGAATTCTAGCTGCCCATCAGGAGCCACACACAAGCAAAAGAGCACACAGATCTCCTCTGGGAGCATCCAAAGCCACCTCCTCCTTATGCTGACTTCAGTGTGGCCCAGCTGGGCTCACAAGCACAAGACCTACACCCAGCAGGAAAAAGACAGTGGCTCACCCAGGGAGCACTGGCCTGTGCCAAGGTAAGTAGAAACTTCTACAGCCAGGTCTACCTTGCTATCCTCACCTCACACCACACTGCCAGAGAGAACATGGCCTTTATGAGCTCAAGGCTTCCTGCTATGGACCCTGTGACAGTCCCAACCTTGGGCCCAGTCCAGGGTTGACAAGCCTCTTGTCCACTAGCCTTTCTCACAACATCTAAGATCATATCCAGGCTTCCTGGCTTTTACTCTGGGAATCACCCATAGTTACTGCTAGGTAAAAAAAAAATCTTCCCAAAGATAATCTAACTGGCAGTGCTCCTAATCCCATAAAATACTATTAGAAGTTTGACACCCTGGCACCCCTAACTAGATGAAGCATAGGGGCCAGCATTATAGTTGCTGGGTTCAGTCAGCACTTGGCACCATGTCCCAGCCACCACTTAGCCACACTCACCAAATGTAATCTGGGATCCTAGAGACGTGCTCCTGGAAGGCAGAGGAAGATGGCCCATCCACTGACCAACGAACAAGCATGTTGATGGTTTTTGAGATCTGCAGGATATGTGGCCATCAGGACCCAGGCAACTTCACCCTGGGGCAGGGCCCCATCTGTTCTAATAAGAGCTTCCTAAGTGTTCTCTATACATTCATGTCCCTAGACTCAAACTGAAGGTAATGGCACTCAAGATGGGCCAGCTTAAGGTGTGACAAAGAAGGACCAAAGGTCCACAGAGATGGAGCAGGAAGCTCAGTTTATCCAGAGAACTTATGGGCAACCAACCACAATAGTATACCAACCTATACTATTGGTATAGGCACCAATAGTATAAGCCACATCCTGACAGCTTCTTTGCTGGGCCTCTACTAGCTCTAGCCAGTATGCGCTGACCACCCAGCCTCAGGCATGTATGTATTCCTTAGGTCCCAAAGCATGTGCACAGCTGGCCAGACTAGAGGCATCCCCCATCCAGATGAGAGACCAGAGTTGGACAGGAGGATCCTGCTGTTTTCACTGCACCCCTATGCACCTATAAGCCTTATACAAGGGGTATAAAGTGGATTATCTAGGGTGGGATCTGTGAGGGAGTTAAGAGGAAAAACCAGTAGTCTTCCAGGAGGTACCTGGAGTCTTAGAAAAGAGTGAGGCAGGAGAACAGGAGCCCAGAAAATGAATATAGGTGGTGCTTCTCATACATTGACCCAAACAGAGATGTGCCAAGATGCAGTAAATAAGCCTGCCCCATTCCTAACTCCACAGAGCCTAGCTCCTAGGGCATCTAACAGGACCTCACTGCCACCAAAGCTGCACCAGACACCAGGGGTGAGGGCACTGACCGGGCCAATGCTGATGCTCTTAGTGAACCGGTCATCGGCGACAATATGTTCATACAGCATTTTGATAGCCCGCTGCCTCAGGCTGGTACTATGGAAACGTTCATACAGGTTGAGGAGTCCTACAGGATAGAAGGCATTAGTGGACACTCAGCAACAGGAGAGACACCTAGCATTCCTGGGCAGGCTGTGCTCTAGTCCTTCAGACAGGAACAGTCTAGGACCCAGCACTGAGGCCATTTATTGCATCGACAGAGTGAGCCAGAATTAATGAATTTTGTGGAGGGCTGAGCAACATCTTAACTGTGTGCTTACCCAGGCTCCCCCAACCCTCAGGAGACACCCACCATACACCACATGCAGCAGCCAGCTGTGTGGAGTGTATAGCTCATCAGGGGACACGTTGTTCTTCTGTGCTGGCCAATTGATGCTGGCATAGTCCTCCACATAGAGCTCCTAGAGGGCAGGGATAGATACCTGAGTGCCTAGCAGATGCAGCAGGCCTGCCTCCCAGACACAGAAGACGGACTGGTGCTACCCAGGAGTGGTCTCTAGCTGTACATTCTGAGGGTTCTGGTATCCTTTTTCAGGGGTGGAAACCAAAGAATCACCACTATAGGGTGTGAGGCCCAGTTATTTCAGTTACATCAGGGCTAACCTGAGGAGCTGTCCTGGCCCTAAGAGCCTAAGTCCCACTCTTCTGCAAATCCTGCTCCAAAGTTCATCTCATGGCTCTTTCCCAAGAACAGTAACTGCAGGCATCGGTTAGGACTGCAGCTTGTGAACTTTCCTAGTCCCACTGGGACACTTAATGGCAGACGCCTTTCAAGTTCCCGTGAGCAGTTTATCGTTTGTTTACAGGAAGGAAGGAAGGCAGAGACTCCTCAGGACCCCAGAGCACCGAGATGCCTCTGAGCTCCAGAGACTGTATGCCATTTCTTTACCATAAGATTTACCTGGCGGAGGCTCTGAACCAGTGGGTCCTCTGGGGCACTTAGTCGGGTGGCGTAGCAGTAGCTCATGGGCAGATAGACCTGCCGGCAGTGACACCAGAGGGTGGAGGGGTGGGCAGGGAACCATTCAGGGAACAACCTGGAAGACAGCATGTGTCAGCAGGACAGAAGAACGGAAGCCTACACTAGTAACAGCCCCAGGCCTCAGGCCCTTCCAAGCATGGACACTCGTGTGACTTTGAGTGCATCCATCATTGTTTGTGCCCCACATATGTGGAGTCGTATGTGGAGCTGTACAGTGTAGGGACGCAGCCTCTCTAGCCCCAGGGTTTAGCTCCCTACTCTACCCTGACAAAGCCTTCCCCTCCTATCTTTCTGGACATAAAAGTTACCGACTACATGAACCCTCGACTCTGTCCTTGGGAGGGTTGCAGGCAATGCCTGAACTCTGTACAGTTCTGGAGAGCTTACCTACCAGTATGTGTGATCTGGGGGAAAGTTTATACATGCATTATAGATGGGGCCATTGGTTTATAAAATAGTCACAAAAAAAAAAAAAAAGATAAAGACACTGACCACAGGCGTCAGTTACTAAGGAACAGGCATTGACTCTGCCGGGTAAATATTGAAAAACAACAAACAAAAACCAAATTTAAAGATGTACATGGTTTGTCCAGTGGTAAAATGATATCTAGGACTTCCCAAACATTTCCCACAAATCAGCTAAGAAAATGAGACCTAAGGATGGGGAAGGCTCTTTGCTTTACTCCTAAATATTTTCCACGTTTTTGTAATTACAAGGTATGATCTGTTGTCTATCCCCACAAAGCCCAAGCCATACAATGGGTTCTGTACTACCCTCCAGGGCCTCACAGACTGCTACAGAGATGGGTGGTTTGACAGCTTGCTGTTACCCAAAATAGAATCTCTTTCTACATATGTGTAGAACACATGAAGGGCCTCTGGTGAGAAGCTAATCCACCCCATTAGGTCCCATCAGCCTACTAGAAGGCAGTGCAATAGGCAGAGGGTGGGCATACCACATCTCAGGGAATAGGGTATTGAGTCCTTCCCAGCTATAAACATTCAGGACGGCCAGCCAGAACTTTCCCCAGGAGGGGATGGCCACCGCACCACCTAGGAAGAGAAAAGGAAAAATCAGCTACCATTACATATGAATCTGGCTTACAGTTCTCTCACATACCCCTTCTTGCAGGAACTGAGGGTCAGCCTGCCATGTGTCCTGTACCTCCCAGCCAGGAACAAGTATGACCAACCTCAGAAGAGCTGTTTACAGCTCCTATCCCTAAGAAGGAATACACAAAGGCAGCTACCTGTGAAGGCAGCTCAGGGAAGGAAGGAAGAGGCCAGTGCTTGGCTGCTCTTTCTCCACCGAGACCAAACCACCAATCTGTGCATTTCCGTCAGCAGACAGCCTGGCACAAGGGACTGCAGGCGGTCTGACATGCAGCCCCTGCCCCTACCATGCAACAGTCAGTCTTTTGTGCAGCACATGACAACACTGATTTATGTACATGTTATAAGTTCTGTCCTACATCTAAATGTGTCCAAATTAGGAAGACTGAGAAAGCTAGAGCTGAAACATGGCACAGGCACATTCCTCCTCTTGGTGGGACACAGGACAAGAGAGCAACAGAAAACAGAGTAGCTTTGAGAGTACATGATCAATAACATCAGAGTTTGACAATGACTTACTTATCACAACAGGGACAAAGACTTGAAAGAAGATTGCAGAATTTCATAAGGCATACAGAACACTTCATCTAGCCTGGGAAGTCAGAAAGAAACCCTGAAGGAGTGAAATTTAAGATATATTGTAAGCATGAGGAGAGGTTTCCAAGACAGCATGGTGAAGGTGGAAAGTAGACTGGGAGGATATCATGAATGGGAGCCCTGAGGCAGGAAACCACTTTGACAAAATGAAAGGAGGCCCCTGATCATGGAGCAAAGAGCAAGACAGGAGTGCCAGTCTTTGAGAAGCAGGATACAGGACCACGTGAGGAGTTGCAGAATAGCAATGCAAGGTAAGCTCTGTTCTAAGAGCAGTGGGAACCACAGAGCCTGCTGAGGGCTAAAATGGTCTTCAAAGCCCACAGGTGAGAACAAAAGTAACTGTGCCCAGGCCCAGAGATGGCGAGTGTGGAGGGGATGAGCAGAGCCCTCACTGGGGATGCTCACCTGTGGCTCAGCTGCCTCCAGAAGACAGACAGCATGGACTGCCCCACAAACACTATATTAGCATGTTGTCTTTAAACCTTTACCAATTCATGAGGAAAGCAGAATATAAAATAGCAAATTGTTTTGCGCTAAGGATATAACTTATTTGGTAGAGTGCTTCTTTACCAGGCACAAGGCCCTGAGTTCAAACCCCAGCACTACATAAACCAAGCTTGGTAGTGCATGCCTGTAATCCCAGCACTCAAGAGGAGGAAGCAGGAAGACTGGGAGTTCAAGGACAACCTTGGCTACATAGTGAATTCAAGGCTAGCCTGGGCAACATGAAACCCTGCCTCCTCCCCAAAACAAAACCACCACCACAACAACACTCAAGTTGCTACTGTGTTAAGTGGGGAAAGAACTGGCCACACAAGCCTGGTAACCTGGATTTGTTCCATGGAACTCAGATAAAGATGAAAGGAGAGAATCAACTCCACTAAGTTGTCCTCTGACCTCTACATATGCACTGTGACATAAACACACACACACACACACACACACACACACACACACACAAACAACCATTCCACAAAACAACAAACACACGCAGAAATTAATTGAAAATAATAAAATTAGGGCTGGAGAGTTGGTCCAGAAGTTAAAGGCACATACTGCAGAGGCCCTCAGTTCAGTTCCAGAACCCACATGGCGGCTAGGAATGGTCTATATCTGTAACTACAGTTCCAGAGGATCTGACACCCTCTTCTAGCCTTCACTGGCACAGCACACACATGGTGCACAGACATACGTACAAGCAAAACACCCACATGCATAAAAATAAATACGTCTCCAGCTGGGCGGTGGTGGTGCACACCTTTAATCCCAGCATTCGGGAGGCAGAGGCAGGCAGATCTCTGTGAATTCGAGGCCAGCCTGGTCTCCAGAGCAAGTGCCAGGACAGTCAAGGCTACACAGAGAAACCCTGTCTCAAAACAAAACAAAACAAAACACAACACAACAAAAAAAAAAACAAAACCAAAACAAGTCTTTAAAAATAATGAATATGGCCGGGCATTGGTGGCGCACGCCTTTAATCTCAGCACTTGGGAGGCAGAGGCAGGCAGAGCTCTGTGAGTTAAAAGCTAGCCTGGTCTACAGAGCGAGCTCCAGGACAGCCTCCAAAGTAATACAGAGAAACCCTGTCTTGAAAAACCAAAATAATAATAATATTATTATTATTATTAATGATGATGATGATAATAATAATAATAATAAAGAGTAATCATTATTAATATTAATAATTACTAAACAGCTCAACAGTTTCCACCTACTGGTGTTTTTCCCAGTGTTTCAACTAGAGGTGTAATTCCCATTTAAAGAACTCATTATGTCAGTATGTCACACACAAACCCCACATGCCATACAGGATGTACCTTTTTTGTGAAGAATGTTCCGAGCACGAACAAGGTCAGGATCATCAGGCCCAATACCCAGGATTCTGAGAGCCACATAGTTCAGCGCTGTCCCAAACACAGTGGACTTGTCCTCAACATGCCTAATGGAAATATGAGATTGGTGGGAAAAGGGCATCTGTCATCTCTCTCTATTTCTGAGACATAAAAGCACACTGGCAGTGAAGTCTGCCCAAAAAAGATTGCTGGAATACCGTCCACTGACATGACAACACAGGGAGCGCACTTAGGGACGCCCAGGGAATGTTTAGTCCACCCAACAGGAGACACCCAATTGTTCCAAAACCAGCTGGGCAGGGCCTGCCTACCCCTCTGCTCCCAGAGTGTGTACATGAAGAAAACAGGTTGAGATGGGTCTGTGGGGGCATCTCAGTTGCCTCCACAATTTTAAAACACAATGGCTTTAACTTGACATGTTAAAGGATGCTCAAGAGGCTCCCAACCATGGGACACATTCACATTAGAGATAAAACTGTATCCAGGCTTCGCATAGGTACCAGCCTGCTCTCCTCCTGCCAGGCTTTCCCCCACACCACCCTAGGTCCATGGTAGCAGTTATCCCACTTCTCAACAGCTGCTTGAAAACCCAAGCAAGAGCTACATAAAAGCACATGTAAGCACACACATGTACATATGTGCAGTTGGGCATACTCACAGGCCCCATCCACCATCAGGGAGCTGCACTGACCGCAGGTACCGCACCATCTCCTCTCTGTATCCAGCTGGCAGAGGGATATGTGACACATGACACGTAATCAGGAGACCTGTGTGTCGAGAAGGATGTCCCACATTAGGAATGGGTGTTCAGCACTGCTAAACCCGAGCTCTTCTTGAGGACCTTAATCCTGACACACAGCTGCGCCGTGGCTTTCCTTCCCATGCAATCAAGCTCATAAAAACCACTCTTCCTAGGCCCAATGACTTTGGAAGCACCAGGAAGAATATAATTCATACTCCCTGGCCAGGGCCTGCAGAGCCCAACTGGTTATTCCTAGCACCCATACCATATTCTAGGTCAGAGAAACACTGCAGAGCCTGGAACAGGCCTCCCACAAGTGTGCTGAAGGCCTAAGAAGAGCCAGTGCAAGATCAAGAGGACCACAAAGGGCAACCATGTCTTGCTTTAACACCTGCTTGGGATTGAAATACTAAAATGGTAACCCTGACAGGATAATAGTTATTGCTTATATCTTACTGCTTCTGTTTTATAAACTTTTTACATGCATGTGCCACTTTGTATATATGGGGAGAGACAATACCATACAAGAAACCTTCATTCCAAGCCTGGTCTTTGGGTTCACAGCTCCTATCTCCATCATCCATAGAGCAGTTCCAAATCACACACCCACAGCAAGGCATAGGAAGGGTCTTGTAGGGCAGCTACTACAGAAGCAACCCCACATTCTCAAGAGGAATTTCCAGGCTACTGAGATAGACCTAAAACTCAATGAGGAAAAGGGTCTTGAAGCATGAATATGGGTTTCTTTAGAGAAACATTGCCAGATTGCAAAAAGTCTTTCACAGCCAAACTAGATCAGAGACCAGTGTATTCAAATGCAATCCTATTACCACTCACCAACCTGGAACTGTGGTTTCCCTGCCTGAACTCCCTCAGCCACCCTTTGGCACCAAGTTCACAAGGGATATTGTAGTGTTCAAACTGCACACACATGAATTCCAGCTCCTCAACTATACCCTTGCCTATCTACAGTACCCTGGCACCAGATGGGCCTTCTACCTAGAGTGCCATCTTGCACTGGGATTCAAGAGCACCTATCCCCCTCTCCTAGAGAAGCCTTTGCTTCTGTTATCAGAGTACCCAACAGTCTATCCTGAGCTAACTATGCTTCACCATCATTTCCTAATCCTGGCAGCAGGATGACTGGGATACAAGGCCACCTTCCCCCAGAGCTTTTCCAATATGCTGCTGGTATTTTAGCCTGCTTAACCAAGGTAGGTCAAGCCCCTCTCACTCCCCACCCCCACAATTCAGAACAGCTTTCCCCTTGAGTTAGGACAGCATGTGCCTACCTGGCAAGAGGAAGAGTGGACCACCATAATCACCAGCCCAGTGTCCATCCTCAGCCTGCAGCTTGGCATAAAATGTTACTCCATTCAGGGCTGCCTCATGGACGGTTTTAGCTTTAGGTAAGTCTTTGAAATAATTCTTCTACAAAGAGAAAGAAAAAACTGAGAGCTGAGATTACCTGGTGCCCTGAGGAACCCTCCTCATTCACAATCCAAGTCAAAATAGCAAATCTAATTCACTTTAGAATTTTTAACTGTTTAAATCTGGAGCAAGTCTTTGATGACACTACCACCCAGAAAAATAACAAAGCAAGTCCACGTTGTCACAATTTACCTTGCAGCCACCAACCTGCAAATTTCTTCAAAACTTCAAAACACCTTAAATAAACACAGCACAGAACAAAGGGGAGGGCACTGATGCCAAACTGATACTGGGGGTACTTCTCCCTTTCTCAGACAGGGCGCACACAATAGCATAGCGGATCCCAGAGAAGATTTTCCCAGCTGATGGCCTGGGATCACAGGAAGCCTGTTACCTAACTGTTGTATGACTATCTGACTTTCATACACACATACATGGATACCCACAAGAACACAGGCCGAACTTCACCTTGTGAATACAAACAAAATCACATCCATCTTTGTAATTCTCTTATAAATCAAAGATTTTATCATAGTAGAGTGCTCAAAATAAAACCAAATTAGGGCCACTTCTTCCACAGGTCTCTGGGATGAAGGGACTGAAGCAACAGTGCTGCTTCAATTCATGTCTCTGGGAGGAGACACTGCCCCCAAGACACCACTTTTCATCGTTGTTGTTTTCAGTTTGAAACTGAACTTAGGTAATTCAACCACTGAGCTGCATCACCACCTCTTTTTCTTTGCTTGGTTGTTTTCTTTTTTTTTGTTTTGTTTTTGTTTGTTTGTTTTGTTTTTGAGATAGGGTCTCAACCTGCTGTGTAGACCAGGATGGCCTCCAACTCACAGAGATCTGCCTGCCTTTGCCTCCTGAGCACTTTGATTAAAGGCCTGCAGCACCACACCCAGCTTTTTTTTTTTTTTTTTTTTTTTTTTTTTTTTTTGGAGACAATGTCTAAGTAAGTTGCCAAGGCAGATCTCAAACTTAGATCCTGCCTCCCGAGTGGCTGGGATTACAGAGATGACCCATGCCCAGATTCCCACTTCCGTACTTATTTCTTTAAAAAAAAATTGTAAGCTTTATTTTTAAACAAAACTTGCAAATAAACAAAAACATCACACACCGAAATAAACCAGACACAAAGTCTATTCTAATGAACTTGGCATTTGAAAAAGAAGCCATGAAGCTCAACCTTCAATTTTATACTTTCAGTACCGTTGCACTTTATGTACTACTAATCCACCACGCAGAAGGCAAACTCCGCGACAGAATTAGAACTAGAAAAGCAGCTGGCTTTATGCCTCTTCCCTCCTAACTCGTGTTCATCATCCGCACAGAGCCCTCCCTCATTCCCTGATATCTAGCTTTTCTTCGTGCTGCACATGTATTATTTGTTTACTGGCTAAATACAGCTTTTTTTGAACAAGTCTCGATGCTGTTTCAGGGCTCTGGGCCAGCAAAGACAGGCAGAGGCTCGTCCGTGGTCACGTCCAGGCTTGGGGTGAAACGGTGCTTGAGTAATCCCATCACTTACTGTGTCCAGCCCCAAAGAGTGGGCCTCTAGCCCGGTCTGTTCCCGACCAGGGTCGTCCTCCGCTTGGAAATACGTCCATCTCTGCCGACCCAGCTCGTTGCGGAGCCGCCAGCGGGTGAGGTCAGTGGCCGGCTCGGTTTTATAGGGTCCCCCTCGCCGCCGCCGCAGGCACCTGAGCGGACCAGCGACAGCAAGCAGCGCTCGTCACTCAGGCCGTCCGCCCAGGCGGGGCTGCCCGCAACCAGCCCAGGCCTGCAGAGCCACCCGCCGTGTCACCCTGACGTCCAGAGGCACCTTCCCTGCCACCGCCACCCGCGGGAGACCCAGGGTCCGGGACTCACGTGCCCTCGGTCATGACAGCAGCTCACTCCGGGCAGCCGGCTTGCCAGCGCCCTTACCTGACAGCTTAGCGCACCGCGCAGGCGCGAGCCTCGGCAGACCTGAGCGGCTGGGTGGGCCGATGCTGGGGCGGCCAATCACAGCATCACGAGGTGAGCACGGCAGACGCCCCGCACCCGCAGTGGTTGGGCGCCCGCACGCCGCCCCACGCCGCTCCACGCCCCCGGGAGGCGGAGTGTTGGGCGGGGCCTAGAGGAGGGGCGTGGTCCTGAGCTGCTGGCTCTGGGTATTGAGGTCGGGGATGGATGTCTGCAGGGTTGGTGAAGAACGGTCCCCTCCTACATCTGCAGGATAGAGGCCGCGCGGGAAAGCCACGGGTGCTTCAGGAGAAGCACCGAGGAGGCCAGAATGGCCTGAGGTGAGAGAGGAGACTAGCGTTGATCGGTGGTCCGCGGGGGCCACGCAGGAAGCCAAGGCGCCACGACAGAGGATGGGACCACCATGGGGCAGGGGAGGAGGAAACTGATTGGGAAGAGGACCAGGGCGGGTGTTCTTGGAAACGAGGCGCCGGCTTCTGATAGGGACTAGCTGAAGGGCGTGGTCAAGGCAGCCTTAACTTCCTGACTGCCAATACCTGGGGGAGCTCCACCTTCTTAGTCACCCTAGTCTCGGGATACCAGGGCTTTGATTCCCACCAGATAAAGGGGGGAAGGTCTTGGTTATGTTAGAAAGTAGGGCGGGAAGCAGGAAAGCCTGTGGTGTACAGGCAGAAACTAATAGTGAGGAACAATGGAGAAATGGAGAAGGCTTGAGAAGCATTGCTGGCGTGCAGAGACAACCAGTGTACTGAAGACAGGGTTCCAAGAACACACAGCAGGGCTGGAGAGATGGCTCAGCAGTTAAGAGCACTGACTGTTCTTCCAGAGGTCCTGAGTTCAATTCCCAGCAACCACATGGTGGCTCACAACCACCTTGAATGAGATCTGGTGCCTCCTGCTGGCATGCAGGCAGAAGACCGTAAACATAATATGTAAATAAATAAATAAATAAATAAATAAACGCACAGCAGCTGCTTATGGCTTCATCTGCCCTACAGAGTGCAGACCTTGTTACAACTACCCGAACCAGATAGACAGCGTCCAGCACCCTGCCCTCCAAATGCTGCCCTTGTGAAACTTGAAGGGGCCATGAACACAAGTCAGAGGACGATGTTGGGAGAGAGAACACCCCCGCACCTTCCCCAGGGGAATCTCGGAGTTTTGGATGGCTAGTCGAGAACACTAAGCTCTTCCGATACAAGATGAGTATGCAGGCATACTTGCCGCAGGCAGTTGGTTTGGAGAGGTGGTCCCGTGGTTACCAGTGTTTGCTGCTCTCTAAGAGGAACTGGAATTGGTTTCTAGCACCCACATGGTGGCTCACAACCATCTACAACTCCAGTTCCAAGCAATCTGATGCTGTCTTCTGACTTCCTCAGGCACCAGGCATATAGGTGATGCACATATGTATATGCCAACAAAACATTCTTACACATAAAATAAATCCTTAAAAAATCAAAATAGAGGGGGCTGGAGAGATGGCTCAGTGGTTAAGAGCACTGGCTGCTCATCCAGAGGTCCTGAGTTCAATCCAGCAACCACATGGTGGCTCACAACCATCTGTAATGAGACCTGGTGCCCTCCTCTGGCAGGCAGAACATTGCATACATAATAAATAAATAAATAAAATTTAAAAAAAAAACTCAAAATAGAAAAGTCAGTCTGGAGGGCAAGGCTTGAAGGCAAGCAAGAGAGCCAGCTAACCCCTTCATGATGGCTGCCTTTCCTATACATGTCTCAGGTGGCCCAGGTGAACAAATAGAGCTTTTGGGAGTGGACCCACAAAGCACCCACAGTGTGCCAATGAGAAGATCCCAAAAGGGTTGCCCAGGGAAGCCTAGCATCCTGAAGCCTGTTTGTTCTCCCAAGTTCACTAAGTAAGTCCTTCTGTTTCCCTGGAACAGAAAGGAGTTGGAACTTTTTCCAGTAGGAAGGAAGAATTCTTGTTGATTCAGAAGCCACATGGAAGGAAAAAACTGCAAGTTTCCCCTGAGTACTTGGTCCCCTGTTGACAGAATTCTTTGGGAAAGATTAGAAGGCATTGTTGGAGGAGGTTATCACTGGAGGTGAGCTTTAAGGTTTCAAAGACCAGGCCATTCCTCGTTAGCTCCCTGATTTCTGCTTGTGGAACAAGATGTAAGCTCTCAGCTACTGCTCTAGTGCCTTCCTGCCTGCCTGCTATGATGTCATGGACTCCAACCCTCTAAAAACCTTATAAAAGACTTCTTTTATAAGTTGCCTGTGTCATGGTGTCTTATTCCAGCAATAGAAAAGTAATACACAATAAATGTTTAAAAAATAACAGCAATTTTTTATTGATAAACAGTGACTCACTAAGGATGGGATGGGGCTTGGTAATCGAAGTTCAATTCCCAGATGGTTCAGCAGGTAAAAGCACTTGCTACACAAGCTAACAACCTGAGTATGAGCCCTCAAACCCACATGAGGCAGAAAGCAGTGGTGTGCATCTGTAATCCTGGCACTCCTGTCATGAGACTGAAGATGGGAGGAATTTCCTGGAAGGGACAGGTGAGGTTAAGAGCACTAGCCACTCTTCCAGAAGACCTGGGTTTGAGTCCCAACACCCAGGTGGTGGCTTACAACCATATATATAACTCCAGTTCCAGGGGGTCCCATACCCTCTTCTGGTCTCTTTGGGTACTAAGCATACACTCGGTGCACAAGCATACATGCAGGCAAAATGATCATAGACATAAATGAAATAAATATGAAAATTTAAAAAAAGAATTGACTGGAAGCTAACCTGGGATATGCTGTATAGCCTCACAGATGAGGGCCCCTGCCTCAACAAGGATGGAAGGTGAGAACTGGCTCCTGAAAGTTGTTCTGAGCCCTTCATGGCCACAAGTGCACACATTCATGCACACACGCACAGATATATCTGTGCTAGCAAGGTGACTCAGTGGGGAAAGGTGCTTGCCATCAAGCCTGATAATCGGAATTCAATTCCCAGATCCCATATAATGGAAGCAGAGAACTGACCCTGAAAACCTGTCCTATGTAGGGAACAGAGGGACAACTTGACTTTCACATGTGCACTGTAAGCACACACTTGCCTATATATGTACAGACAAAATGTAAAGTTGTCATTAAAATACATATGATATACAAGTTTTAAAGCCTAAAGATGGCCCTTTTCTCTTGCTCTTCCTCCTTTCTGTGGAGTCACCATGTAACCGCCAGGAAGACAGGAAGCAAGGCCTTCGTCCTCCGTAAGATCAGTCTTATGATTATGGTTGGTAATTAAGACTGAGCTAGCAATATCACATCTTCTTGAACAATACCTGTGATGGATGATCTTAGTTGTCAACTGGACTCCATCTAGAATCAACTAAAATTCAAGCATCTGGGCACACCTGTAAAAGATTGTCTTGGCTGGATCATTTGAGGTGCGAAGTCTCACCTTGAATCTGAGCCACACTTTCTGGTGTCAGTTCATACAAAAGGACATGGAAGAAGGAAGCTTTTGATTTTTCGACTACTGTCACTGGCAAGTTCATTATCAGAAACACACACGCACACGCATGCACACGCATGCGCGCGCGCGCGCGCGCACACACACACACACACACAAGATATTTGATAAACTAAGCCTCACTTCCGTCAGACAAACTTTGCATAAAAATACTGGGGTTTTTTTCTAGTTAGTCACAACACTTTCTAACTTGTTATATGACCCTTTCTTTTTTTAATTTTTATTTTATTTTATTAGTTCAAATTAGGAACAAGCTTGCTTCAGATGTCAATCCCTTCTCCCTCTCTCTCCCATCCCCCCCAACATCACACCTGGCCCTAGCCATCCCCCCTCCACTCCCCAGGCAGGGTAAGGCCCTCAAAAGGGTCTCCCCAAAGGCCAGGCCTAGGCCCTTCCTCATGTGTCCAGGTCAAGAGAGCATCCCTTCATATGGGATGATGACCCTTTGATTTTATGTGTGTTTTAGTTACTTTAGTTGCTTTTTATGCTACTCCTTTGCCTTGGAATGAGAAGAAAATGACCTCTGATATGCTCCATACTCTTCCAGTGAAAATAGACTGATTCAAATTTGGAAGATGGTTCTTTCTCTACAGTTCTCTGCCTGAAGTCTAGTTTGCAGGCCTCCTTTATTGGACATGGCCCTCCATGACTGAGAAGATTCCTGACAAAGGCTCAGAAATGCTTTCTTCCCAAGACCCTGTCCACAGAGTACGAGAGACTATGGAATGGTAATTCTACCTTATAACCCACTGTATCACCCTGTCACAGTGTTGGGCTTATTTCCCCGGGGTGAGAATGTCCATCGCATGGCCCAACTGTATCTGCGGTGTGATCCTAGAAAGAGCCATGGTCAAGGATGGAAGATAAGACAGAAAATGTTAGGCAGCCTCCCTTTTCTCTTTATATGTTGTGAAGGCCCATGTTTCCAAGCCTGGGGGAGGCAGGTTAAAAATAGATAAACTCCACAGTTCTGTCCTAAAGCCCTTTGCTTCAGAGATGGTTTGTGGTTGGAAGAAGGTGCTTATGACTCATCCTTCCTTGTGATTTATTTTCTTACAAAACCTTTCTGTTTGCATCAGTATTTCTGTAGTGATGGGGAATGTACTGTGTATGTATACATCGTAACACAGTAGAAAGACAGGGATGGGGGCAACAAACAGAATGGGAATGTAAGAATTTGTAAAAGTCAAGATTTTCTTTTTTTTTGTCTTTTGGAATTTAAATTTATTGATTTCCTCCCCCCCCCCAGACTGGGGTTACTCTATTTTCCCCAACAGAAAAGTTTATAAACATTTGGAAAGTACATAAAGTTACAATAACATAAAAGACAATGCTAAAAAATCTATCCACTGAAGAAAACTATAGTAAACACTTTCATTTATCTTTTTTTTCTTTTTTATTTGAATTGGAAGCAGCCTTGTTTTGCATGTCGGTTCCAGTTCCTTCTCCCTCCCATCCTCCCCTGCCCCCCACTCTCCCATCCCCCTTTCTGCTCCCCAGGGAGGGTGAGGCTTTCCATGGGGGATCTTCAGAGTCTGTCGTATCATTGGGAGCAGGGCCTAGGCCC